TTTCCTAGTTATTGTTCAAAAGGAGGAAGAAATGAGGTCACAGTGGAAAACTATCACCTGACCTCAGCTTGCTTTCCTGAGCTTGGCTCCCCAGTAGCAGGGCATCTCTTCACATAAGTGTGTTTTCTACAAGCTGAACTCATTTTTATCAAGTTTCTATACATTAGAAAATAATTGCTTTTAGTAGTTTTCTACAAAGCAGCACACAGATCTATATAAAATCCATTTTCAGCACACACACTTTCTAATATATAGACCACTGAAGATCTGCAAAATTTCTCAGACTAAAAACAGATAAAGTAACCTTAGATTTGTTCTGAGTTTGAAACAGAAATATTTCTAGGAATTTCAATATTATTAAAATATCTTTGTACTTAACATCTATCAAAACTGTATTTTAAACCATTTGTAGGATATGCCTTTCTCCTAAAGGATATATGCTTCCAAAAAAACCCCAAAAGAATCAATACAGATGTTATTAAAAGTGTGATGAATAATATATATGTTCAATCTGTTCTTGGCTAGGTAATGTAAATGTGATGGCAGGAATGACAGACAGATGTCATACAAATGAATCATTTTCCTATTTCACCTGCATTCATCACAGCTTAGAGATACATATACACACCTGTAAATACTCAGTTTATAGACACACAGAAATTTTGTGAAGACTGAGAAAAATTTGAAATAACTGGTATTAAAGGTACAGGTTTCAATCTGAAATTCAAATTGCCATCCAAACAGCAGAAATGATGGGAATCCCCCCAGCTCCCAGTGCCTAAGCTATTGCTGGGGCTCTGCTAGGCTGCAGTGATACAATGAGGAATGTATTTCTTCTTTGTTTTGCACCAGTCCTAGTGGGTTTTTAAGCATTCTCTATAGACAATGAGGAATGTCTCTCTAGATGTACACTAAAAACAAATTTATAAAAACAATGTAGCAAACAATTATTTTTAAATCTGTGTTTTTATAAGCTCATTCATGTCCGATACCCTGTATTGCAGTTAAATGGAATTTACAAGAAAAACAACATAAAATAGAAAATTTATCTCTATTACAGTGCCAGACCAGCAAAAATAATTGAGTCACAAAGTAAAATTCAAGTTCTGTACATCACCCTCAAATGAGTGAAATGTATTAATGTGAAAGGAAGCCTGCACCTCTAAAACACAATACTCTTTAGGCAAGATACAATTGGATATTTAAGGAGGATTTGTAGAGAGCTAGAGTTTGTGATAATGACCATGTAGATGTAATCTGTTCTGAATTACTAGAGAAAATAACATTTAAAACAAGATCCAAAAAACCCCCCTGATATGTTATATCATATTATTGTGGATGGTTTTCTTGCAAAAGACCAAATTTAAAAAATACTGCCTGTGAAATAAAAGGCTGTAACTTCCTGCCAATGATTTGAAATGAAAACTACAAACTAACCTCAAAACACTTCTCCTTCTCTGCTTCCTGCAGCAGTGCAGCCAGTCCTGGTAAGAGCACTGGGAAGATGTAAAACTCCAAGTATTCTCGAGTAGAACCTGAGCAAAACAGGACAGCCTTCACTAACAGCTAAGCACTTGGATTTCACAAAAACACCACCATTAGATATCTTACAGTCAGTACCAGTCATTTTGTCAATACCATCACAGCTTGGACAAAGCAGATTCATTCCCTTCACAGACAGCCACTGGTCTGTCTTCACCGCTCAGCAAACACAACACAAACTTGGGTAAATTTCAAACTAAATGTGCACCCACACTGCAAACTCAGTGTGCCTCAGAGATGTCAGATTCAGTTTTAAGTGAAGAAACTCAGACACCAGAAGCAGTTTAGTCACAGAAGTGAAAAGCTCTGTGAATTAATTTACCCTGACAGGAAGAAATTAGCCTGTGCTGAACTCAGTGCTGCTGCAGTTAGACCACTTTGGTATCTCATGCCCTCTACAATCTGCACTATCAGAGTTAGTCATAAAACCGAATTTCTAGACAGAGGAAAAACCAAAGGTTATATTTTAGTGGTGCTTTGATTTCTTTGTCATAATTGCTTCATACTTGCCAGATCCTTCAGAGATTTTAACCTGACTCCATGTATCCAACCTTTCCCCTCTCAGAGGGGCTGTCTGGGTTGGCACCTCTCCCCATGCAGGCAGTATTCAGGTTTTGGTGTGATCAGCAAAGATTAAATCATACAAATGTTCTCTTCTGGCAACATAGTTGAAACACTGAATTTATTCTCAGCTTTATACCTTTAATTGGTTCATATACTGCCAGAAAATGTTCATAACTGGGAGGACACTATTTATATAAAAGCCAAGGGTAACATTGCTTCTGACTTGCACCAGGAATTCCTAATGAGCAAGAATTAATAAAAGAGAAGACAAAATGAGGGGCTAAAATGCATAATAAAAACAGACTGCTGCTTGGTAAATTTATTATAAACTATAGGAATTGATAAAAGTGGAAGAACCAAACTTCAGACCTGCTTCCATTCTTGTCTGTAATCAGATGGGAAAAGACAGTATTTTGACAGCAGTTTTCAAATTCAATTCTCTACTTAGGCTATTGATCCTAGTTTTGCATTATTAAATCAGAGGAAGAAATGCCTGCCATTTCTGATTTAGGTGCCTAAATAAAAAGTCACTTATTCAGAAGAGCACAGAACTACCTTAGCTAGTCAATGCTGTTGGTTTGTAATGCATCATTTGGTCTTTCTTCCATTGACCAAGTGGCCAAGCTGGCTCCCTGTTTTCAGACCATGCAAATTCCACACAAGCAAAGGTGTTGCTGTTAATGCTGTAAATTAAATAAATTACAAATCCTGGCCATGTGCAAGACAAATAATCACAGCAGGGTTCAAGATAATATACTCAGACTTACATTTTTTTGGATCAGGGGGTTCTCCAGGGGGAGTTTCCCCAAGTGCAGATAGCAGATATTGGTCTGCAGGAGGAGAAAAAAGCTCTTCCACAGGAATTTCTGCTTCCAAAGGCACCTGCTCAAAAGAAATATATCCTGTCTAAACACCCCAACAGACTAGACAAAAAATATACAAACCAATTCAACAGGAAAAAAAATTATAAGGTCAGTTAAAAATTATGGAACTATAATTTATAATTCAAATATTGTATTACTTTTGTATTTTCTGAATACTTGAAAATATAATAATTACACTTAAATAATAATGCACTTAAATAATAATATAAATAACTACACTTTAAAAACTTCTGGAGTTTCCAGCACAGTAAAATCATCCAAACCTTACAGAAGGTACATTACTCCCTTTAACAGAATATGGTAAGATATCACCATTTTAAAATAATTTTATCCATTGTAAGAAATAGTAATTATTTGATCATTCATGCTGGTAGCATTTTCTGAATAGGTATTTTCCACTCAGAAGCTTAAATATCTCTTTCACATTGTTCAGAAGTCCTGACATTCACCTTTTAAAGAAAATAAACTTTTCTGGTTAGCATTACTCAAGTTGCTTTAAATACAAGCAATTATTTGGAATATTACAATTGTTGGTTCAAATAAGCTGTTTGAAAAATAATAGTTTTGTTTTCATTTTATGAATGAGTCTACCTTGTAGGTACCTAATTTTCACATTTAGTTGTTTAAAATATTTTCAATCCATCTCCATGAAGATCTGTTTACTTGAACTGTACTCACTGATTCTTCTTTTGATTCAGGATCTTGTTTTGATTGAGGAACATCTGAAAATTGAGGCTGTTCCTCTTCATGCTCTAAAAGTAAAAAAGTACAACATTTACCAGGAAACCCTAAAAAAAATATTTATTTTCCTCTTAAACCAATATTATTTTTAAAAGTATGTATTTAGGTTTGAAAAAAAAGAAAAGTTACTATGCAATAAATATTTGTTTAGCATGAAATCTAACATTTTAAAACAAGCAAGAACTTTAGACACTCCTGTCAAGTGCTCTCTTGAGCTTTAAGTCAAGTGCAAGGTTCTCACTGACAAAAGAACATTTATTGGGAAAAAGGTACCAAAATAAACCAAAATAATAAATCAAAATATTTCAACATAAGTAAAATGTACATGCTTGCACTGAATTAACCATTGTTTTTACTAGCAGACAATCCACTTTTCATAGTGGATTCCTCTCAAAGCTATTAAATCCCACAGACATTGTTAAGTATTACTGTCTCCGCTTAAAAAATAAGATAAATAAAATAAAATAAAATAAAATAAAATAAAATAAAATAAAATAAAATAATAAAATAAAATAAAATAAACAAAAACGCTGATGAACTAAAGGCTGTACATGACCCTCAAGGACTGCTGAGGGACTCAGGCTGAGACAAATGAAGGACCAAGGCCAGGAACCCGCTGGGAGCAGCCCCAGGTCCCACAGCGCAGACCAGCACAGCCTGGCCCAGCAGTTCAGCTCCACATCGCAGTGGGGTTTAATGGCACCACCAAACCCATGGCTTAGAATAACCAGCCCTACTCCCACCCGAAAATGGCCATTTTAGTGCAAAACGCCTGCTTTGGGCATGTGAAGTACTGAAGGGAGATAACGCTGTGGAACTGCAGAGCTGCAGCGCTGCTCTCTCAGCCTTGCAACCTCAGTGCTCTCGGGCAGTGCAGAAGCCCAGGGGCCTGAGCACAGATGTTGTGTGTTCATTTAACCCTCGTTAAGCACTGACATCCGCCTCTCTGCCTTCCCCGGTCAGTTCCCGGCCCGTTACAGGCTCGCCTCAGAGCCCAGGGCAGCTCCGAGGCCCCGCCGCGCTGGCAGCAGCCGGGCTGCGGCACCACACACACAGAGGGCGTCTGCCGGGAGATTACGGCAGTGACAGCACCGTGAGGCCCACGAGCAGAACCGCCCGGGGCGCTGGTGCCGGTGGGGATCGGGGCGGGTTTGGGCGCTCTGTGGGGCGGGCGGGAGAGCAGCGGGCAGGGGCGGCCTGAAGGGCGCCGGGGAGGCAGCGCGGGAGCCCTGCGCGGGGGGCTGGGAGCGTGCCGTGCCGTGCCGTGCCGTGCCGGGGTCCGGAGCGCGGCGGGCCTCGGGCTGCCTCCCCCTGCCTCCCCGGTGCCGGCGGTGGGTGGGCGCGGTGGGCCCGGACAGACAGCCTGAGGGGGCTGTGCTGGCCTTGCGGCTCTTTCCGGGGTTTGACAGCCTCAGTGTTATTATTCTAAATAAGCCGCAGTGATATTGTTATAAATCGAGTGGGGATAATTGAGTTTCTCGGCAAGTGGGTGCTAAAGGCTTCTCTGTTGTGATCAGTTCGTTGGCATAAGTGTCCTGAGAAAAGAAACGGAGAGCAAGGATAAGAAACCACCGATAGGAGCAAATTTAAGGTAATAACGCAGGTGCCTGGGAAGGGTCGTGTAATGCTGAGTGTGAGTTCAGTGTTAAGTGAAAAGTCACAGGTATCTGGAAAACTAATTGCATTTCTGTATACACACTGATGTGTTTTGCTGTTTAGGAAAGATTTTTGGAGGGTAGGTGTTTCTGTGAAAACTTCATGGTCTGCTGCTGGGAAACAGACAAATAGAGCCTTGGAAACTAAAACAAGGTACACTGAACAACATGATAAAAAGAATGACCCCAGTAAACAGTATTTTCTGTATGTGTCTGTGTGTCCTGGTTCCCCATCATGGAAAGCAGACTGGGGTTAGAAAGAGTGTCAGGGACAATGGCAGATCAGGAATGGTTTCAAAATAAAGTAGATTTGGAAGCAGTTCACTAACACCTTCATATCCTTTTTTAGAATGATGATAAAGAAAAAGAGAAAAGACATTCAGGAGGAGCCTGTACAGAAGAAGAAAAAGGTGAAGACTGTCATTAAAATTGAGGAAGATGTTAAAACTGTCATTAAAACTAAGGACAATGGCCAACTCAAGGAAAAAACTAAGACAAGAAAAAAGGAGAATTTAAAAGATGAATGCTTACACAAATTTCACTCAAAGAATACTAAGAAAAACAAGAAGCCGAAAGTTGGCTCTGAATTATTCAGAGAAGATAATTTAGAAAGCTTTGTAAATATAAAAGATCATCTGGATTTACAAGTTCAAGAAGAACCAGAGGAACAAATTAAAATATTCAAAAAGAAGAAAAAAAAAGTCCAGTGTCATTTCTCCTTGGAGAATAATGAGAGTAGTGACGTGGAGCTTCCAAATCATTGCACAGATGGTACTAAGAAAAATGAATTCTCTTCTAAAAAAAAGAGAAAGCATACTGCTTTGGATTTGGAATTGGATGGTGAGGTAACAAAGAAAAAAAAGAAGAAAAGCAAATTTTCATTAGAGGACATCCAGGACACTGAACAAAGGCAATATGCAAAAGTCTGTAAAAACACCCACAAATACACTTCACAAAAAGCAGTTTTTATGCGTGAAGACTGTAACACAGGTAATGCCCAGGATGGTGGGGAGAGCTGTGTGAGAAAGAAGAAAAATAAAAAGAAAGATAAGTCAGACTGCTTTTTGCCACTGGCACATAATGAGAGCAACATGCATCGAATTCCTGGTAGCCCCACTGCATTAAACGACTTCAGAAAAAGGAAGAAACATAATTCCTGGGAGTTTACATGGACAAGCAGAGAGGAAGAGGACAAAATTAAGAACTTTGGGCATATCGAAGAGAGGAAGAAGAAAAAGAAAAAAAAAGCTATTTATTCCTCAACCTGTGAAGATAAGCCAAACTGCAGTCACAGCATTCCTGATAAGCATCTCCCAGCACAGCAAGAAGTTGAGCTTGAGGAAGAAGAGCTGTCTGGAAAGAAACACAGGAAGAATTTCAAGGATAATAAGGAAGTCAGTAAGAAGAAAAAGAAGAAGATTAAGAAAAAGGAGGAGGAAGCAACATACTCAGGAGTTTCTTTAGACAAATACAGTGCTTCTAAAAGCCAAAAAGTACTGCTGGGAAGCAGTAAGAAGAACAAAGAGAGTAAAATGGAGCGAGCTCAGTGTGTCACAGGGGACACTGTAGATGGGACATTGTGCAGTAGTAATCCTGTCCTGTGTGACAGAAAAAGGGAAAAAGGACCACCACAGGACTTAGCTGAAGAACCAGGTTCAAAAGCAGCTGCAAAAACCATCAAGACAGAATCAGAATGGAATGAGTCAGTGGTAAGTTGAGGAGAGGAGGGCAGCTTTGCCCCCTCCTGCTAAGGAGCTGAAAGCCTTTGGGGCAGTTCCCTGCTCTGCAGGCTGCTCTGCCTGCAGGGGACACTGAGGGGGGGAGCAGGACCAGCTGATCCATTTCAGCATGGCACAGCTCACAGGGCATTCTGAGCCAGCTCCTCAGTGAAGGGCCCATGCAGGGATCAAACCCCAGCTGGGCTGGTGCTGTGACACCTGGCGAAGCACTGATGCCTGCTGCTGTCATCACACAGTGTTTCTGTTGTGAAAATAAATATTACAGCTAGCAGCAAGTATTGGCCCAAAAAAGAGTGGGTTTGTACAGTCATAAGTGCTCAGTTGCTCTTAGCAGCACTCTTCATAAAGCAGGAGTTAAATACTATGTCATTTACCCTGAGCAGGTGGTAACCCTGGCAGCAGGAGTTAATCTCATTGTTAGACTTCCCTCAAGCTTTGCTGCTGTCACTGCTGGAATTATGTAATATCAGAAACAAAGGGGAAAGTTGGCCAAAACCTGTTGGCTAATTCCAGCAAAACTTCAGAAAAAATCCTAGGAATCCTAAGTGTAGACTGGGCCAAGAGCATTGAAATATAAATTCTGATGGAAAAATACTAAAGACCTAAACACACAGTTTTAATTAAAACAATAAATCTATGCAAAAGAATAAGTAGATGTAAGAACTGTCTGAATTGTAACTGAGGGTAACTGGGATTTTATCCTGACTGACTGGTCAGGAAATCCCATCCCAGAGTCTTGCAGTACTTGCCATTTCTGAGGTAAAATGAACATGGGGAGGAACTGATGAAATATTTGAAATACAGACATTTTTTTCTTTATCTGATCAAAGTTATGTTTTAAAGCTAAGGATGCCAAAAGTTAGTACCTGCATGCCCAATTCTGTTATCATTGGGAATTAAACTGTGAAATGCTCAGAAAATCAGTAGGTATCTGTCTGTATTTTTAGCTGCTTAAACTTAACTTTGAAACCAGCACATTGCAAGTTCCTAGGAGGTTGTTTTTATTTCTGTAGGTAATGGGAAGCTGCAGTCCAGTTGCTTTCTATCAAGAATTTTGAATGCTTGGCTTATTTAAATGTCAAGCACTAGTTAAGAAGGTATCACTGAAGATTTTTGCATGTTAAGGGTGGAGCAGACCATGATGTGAGCAGCTTCTCAAGCTCTCTTCATGGTGTGCTTTGCTTTGTCATGCACTCAGATGCAGTTTCCTCCAGTTCTGTGGAAACCTGGCAGCTGCCTGGTGTCTAGTGCTAATAATTGAATTTAGATTCATGTGGAGACCCAGATACAGGGCTTCTTCACAGGGGTTTGTGAGGGGAGTGTGTATGCTTATCAGTCATGAGGTGAGCAGATGTTTGGGGCTTTCAAGTTGGATTTCTCCTTTTGACCTTTCAAAAGGACATGGTGGTTTTATTGCCAGGTATATTTTCTAATTAAATTGGCATTGCCTTCTTGAGATTGTTGGACATTATTTGGATTTTGCAGCTGCTTACATTGTGTAGAGGCAAGATAAGCTCTACAATGACATGTAAACTTTCATGACCAGTTAATATGGAAACCACAGCAAATACCTTGCAGACTGTTGAGGAGAAGGGAGTAGGGTGATGCATGTTTTGTTCCTCTTTCCCATAGGCAGCTCCTTTAATAATAAAAAGACTACTCAAAAGAACATCTGAAGATTGAGAGCTCTGGGTTAGACAGTTCTAGTGATTTCTAGTTCCTGCCAGGCCAAAAGACACTGCACTAATAAATGGCTGATAATGTGGTCTGGCATTTAACTGTGCCACAGTCATGAAGTGTTTTAATCTACAGCATGTCACACAAGGCTCTGTGTGCCTTGAAAAATCCTCTGTTGGGCTTGCCCTGCAAGTAAAAGAGCAAATTTTAAAGACAGTGTGGAGTGATACCCACTTAATACCAGTGCTTGGTGTTTTTCTCATGGGATGCCTTTGCAGTCAGCTGGGCAGTGAGGAGGATGAGGACTCCGTTTTCTGCTTTGATGTTGTTTGCCAGCAGACAGTATAACCCTACCACACGTGGATGTGCTCCTTTTCCATGAAGTTGGAGGCAGCTTGGCACACTCCACGGGGTAGTTTTTTCCACTCAGTAGCCCTCAGCAGGTCTGCAGCGTGCTGGGGATGAGCAGGGATGGGGCTGCTCCCTCCTTCCAGCTAAAAAGAAAAAAAATAAGCTGCAGTTGTTGCAGAGTCCTGTCAGGACAGTTTACCTGCTTGTTTAATAGATCTGAAAAGACAGTACCAGGCCATCTAGAAGTAAATTGGGGGTTGTTTTTGGTTTCTTCTTTTCTTCCAAGAGCACGAGCTCTCCTTCCTGCAGACAGTGTTCTCGCATTTTTAATGGTGCATGTACTTGTGTGTGTGTGAAGGCAGTGTATAAAAGGTAGCTTTGGAAAATGAGGTAAATCACTGATAGCTTTTAATATAACTAAAGCCTCAAAAAAGTAACAGCAGCTTCTGCTGACAGAAGTATGTTACAAATCTTTTCCTTGTCGTTTCCCTGGCTGTTTCATGCTTGGTTTATTATGTTAGCTGCATCAATAGATCTTCCCTTTGGCCACTTTTTCCAGGCTGGTCTCAAGCTTATGGCTCTCATTTACCACTCTCCTGGAATTGCTACTTACTCTGTTGTACTGGGTACCCAAAAAGCTTCTCCTGGTTGCAAATTTGGAAGAGGAAGGCTGGGGCAGTGGTTTAGGCGTGGCAGTCACTGGGAGCAAAAGTTGCAGAAGGGCTGCACTTGTGGAGATGTGATCAGCATCTGCTCAGATTTCCCTCCTGCCATCCAGAACATCCATTCCTTCTGGAGCTGCTCTGTCTCTTCCATCAGCTCCTGTTCCTTGCTCTCAAATGTGGAATAATGTGCTGCTGGCTGCCATTGCAGGGGACAGCTCCTGTGTGAGTCCTGCCTGTCCCTGTGCCCCTGGGACCAGCACCCACAAGGGAGCACAGTGCAGCTGCCTCTTGATTAGTTTGTGTTCATTTGTTTCAGAGAGACCTTTAGTTATTTTACCTCCAATTTCTATTTTTTTTAACTTTCACTGTCTCTGTGCCTTTCTTAAGTATGAATTTAAGCTTTTACAGAATGGTTTAATTGGAAATTAGTCTGCCTGCAAACATCACTGTGCATGCCAGTGTTGTTGGCAGGTCCCTATTAATGTGTAAATCTAAAAATCATTTATCTTGATTAAAAGAAAAAAATCTCTGCGAGGTTTTTTCCATAGGAATACACAGATTTAATTGGCATTTTTATCTTAGAGCCAATTATTTCTTCTTGCCCCTGAATGGTACTACTGATTGCTTACTTTTTTAACTACTTTTGTGGTAAGAGCTGTGTAAATTCTAATTAATCAGAATGGATAAAAATAATCATAAATCTTTTTCCTGTTTTACAGGAACATCTAGATGGTGTAATTATTGTGAAGGAAAAGAAAGGAAACTGTGATGAAATTAACATAGACAAGGTATGCTTTGTCCTAACTGGGTAAGATCTAAAGCAAGTCAGCAACTAACATATGCATAGGAATTGATACAAAAAAACCTGCTTTGTTGCTTATCTATGCCTGGATTTCCCTAAATAAAGCCGTGCTTAAAATGTGCTTTACATGTGTGTTAAGTCCAAAATGTACAGTCAGTGTCAGAACTAAGTAGCTTACTAAGTTAAAGATACATTTCTTTGCCTTTCATCACTGTTGGCAGTTAGAAAATGAGACTTACTTGATAAAGCGAACAACTCATTTAACAGACACTGAAAAATTACAGTTCTCATGTTGAGTGTGTGAAAGGATCCCATGCACCTTTTAATTATCCTTGCAAAATTCTGAAGATAACTAATTGTTTTGTTTTTCTCGTGTTATTTCATTGTGAATTGTCATTTAACACACTGGACACAGAGTCTTATGCTGCATGTGTAATTTTTCTGCACACCAGGTGAGGAGGCAGGCCCTGCAAGAAGAAATTGACAGAGAATCTGGCAAAACCAAGGCTTTCAGTTCCAAAGTGGGACAGGTGATGTATGAGTTCAGACCTCAGCTGATGGAAATGCTGTGTCCCAGGGCAGGTTCTGTAAAAACCACTGTGCTCTTTTTTGTATGTGGCTCATGTACAGCAGTGTTCCTTCTGAGTGCAGATCTCAGGCCATGCTATAGAACAAGCTGGTACAGTGCCAAGAGTGAGAGCTGAGCACTGAACTCCCTGCCATTGCACAGTGCCCTAATTCCCATCATCAGTCCTCAAAAGCAACATTTTCTCTGGTTCCTCTGGAAAATGAGCCATCAAAAATTGCTACAGAAGCATTTACTGTGAAACACAAGTAATTTTTGGGCTATGGGTGCAGCAGTCACTGAAGTGTATCTGATTTCTTACCTGCAAGACTTTGCACACATTCAGCCACAGGGACACCCATGGAAAGGTAGAGGGGCTGGCAATTGTGAACACGTGTGTAATGTGTAGAGTCAGTCCTCTCATGGCTTCTGCATCCTCCCTCCACCTCTTTGGAAGATGTTTCCTGATTCTTTCCTTCTGCATCCTACTCAGCCTGGCTCCTGACAGATTCACAGTAAGGTCGTGGAAGTTTGCTGCAGTGTTTAGCCAGGGGTGAGAAGACTGAGGTGGAGAGAAAGCTTTGCTAGTAATTCAGGCTTCTGTTGTTTTGCAGGACTGCCAGAATGCCTAGAAAGCTGGAATATGCCTCAAACAAATGCCAGAGACAACTCCTGTAGATCTAACATAGTGGGAGGGAGTCTGCATTGCTCTGGAACTGCAACTGTCTAATAGTCTCTGGAGTCATTGAGAAAAATGACATCCTTGGCAGGAGATCTCAGCTCTTTGGCACTGATCTGTCTCTGTTTAGTAGTGTGCAGAAGAATAGAAGCTGTGAAAACTAATTCATCAGCTCCACAAAGTGAGCTGGAAATGCTTCAGCAGAAGCTGTGTGTAGTGCCTGCCAGCAGCTCACTTAAAAACAGAGTTTTGACAAGCCATAATTATATTTGCATCTGTGCAGATGTCTCCCATTGCAAAGGGAGGACTTACATTTATTTATTTGTGTTGTGTGTGTATCTGGATGTGTGCATGTGTCTGTGTCACAGACTGGGCTTGTGCAGCAACTTGCAAGGTCAAAAGGCTGAAGGATTATGGGTTTCTTTCTTTCATACCAGGTACTCAGGCCTGTGATAGTGAATGTACTCCAGCCTTGCATTCTTTTAACCTTTTTTTAACCCTGCTGTAGCTTGCCTGCAGTTGTGTAGCATGCTGTGTGTCATGCTGTTTGTCTGCTGGAGAATGACTGTTTCATGCAAGCTGCAACTGTTCTGTTGGAAGGATTTCAGGCTGACATAAACATACCACTGAATTCACTTTTTTTTCCTTTGATGTAGCCAGCTTAGTCAGTTTAATTAATAATCAGACATTCTGCCATTTAGTATCATGCCCAGTTTTAAAGAAAAAATTCTGAGTAAATCCTGCCAAAAATATTTATAAGTGACTGCAGAGCTATAGCTCAGGAGTCACACACACCCTTGAATAATGAAGCCTGTTCTTAGGTAAGCCAAAAGTTCATGAACTCTGTAAATCCTATGGTGTATCTGGGGTTTTCCACAAACAGCTGAAATCTCATTTTAGCTGGATATTGCTTCCCCAGAAAGGGGCCAGAATCTGCAGAGAGAAGAAAAATCCTGAAGGGGTGAAGTAGTCCAGAGAGTGCAGTTAAATGCAGATACAGTAAATACAAAGAACACAGCAAACTGCAAGGGAGGAGAGGCTTTAAGAGAACTAGACTTGGTCCTGTGGGATAGGGGAGGCCCTCTGGTTCTGCACCCTTGCAATATTAGCTGTAATTAGTGGGATGAGAATGCAAATATTATTTAAAGCTTGAAAGCCAGATTGAACAGTGTCCACAACTAACAAAACACTGCTGAAAACAGCAGCTCCCTAGGCAGTGGGAATGAAAGGATAACCCTACAAAATGACAGTGAAAGAGGATTAAGTCTGACAGTTTTCTTAGAATAAGAGATGCTGTCTGGCTCTTGGAGCTGGGTAAAGAGAGAGCAGAAAGCCAAGACTCCTAAGGACAGAGGGAAAGGAGATTCTCAAGGCATTAAGCCCTGGCTGCAGGTGACATGGCTGAAATGCTGGTGAAGGTGCACTCAGGTCAGTCTGGTACCACTTCCCTGGAGAGATGGCCATGGAGTAACAGCTTCCCAGCTCTGTCCCGTCAGCCTTCTGTGTCCTCATGGTACACAGCCAGAAATTGTCTCCCTTGGTATTTCTTAATTTTAGTGTTAATTTTGTTTTGCCTCACAGGATACACAGGAGCTTGGACAGTGGAGTACAGCTACTTTTAAAAGTTCTGCGGAACAAATGAAGTTTTTTAGACTGTTGGGTGGTTTTAAAAAAGGTTCTGTGCCTATGCAAAATCCCTCAGCAACTACAAACAAACCAAACATGGCTCTGAACCAGGAAGGGGAGGAGAAGTTACAGCAGGCTCTGAAGATGCAGTTTGATAAAGCAATGGACTTGAAGCAACACAGAGGAATTGGTCTTGGATTTCAGCCTAATGCCAACAAAAAAATATACATTGACAAATATTCATCTAGATCTATAAAATTTGAAGATTAAAACTCAGAAGAACTAAAGAGTATGAAATTTCTTTTTGCTTTCTACATCTTTTTACTTGAAATAAAATAACAAAATGCTGAAGAAATTTTGTTTATGAAGTACTTGAAGTACAAGTTTTCACCTGCATATACCAGTGGAGCTGGGTCCTCAATTCATCCAAACAGTAAGTTTTGAAACCTTTGTCATGTTCTGCAAGGCAAGAGACAGCCTCCTTCAGAGACTGAAGATGTGTGCCATGCCTGCAATTAGTTGAAATTCAGTAATTTTTTTTAAATGCTGATTTAATAAACTTACTTTCATCTATATCATATGTGATTCAAAAGGATTTTATTGTTCTGTAAAATCTTCACATTTTTTACACTCAGTAGTACAAAATGATGGTGCTTTACTTTGAAGACACACTAGTGGTGTGCCCTCAGATTTGATGAGGGCAGACTTTTAACTCAGGAAGTAATTCTTAAAAATCTTAACTTGTAATAACAGCATTGAACATCCTCTGTATTTGAACTGTGCTCTGGCAGTTGGATTTTCAATCAGCAGCTGTTATCTAAAAATGGAAGTAGAAGCATTTTGGAGAGTAGCACCAACAGAACTACTCAATTTCTTTATCATTAAAGACAGCTTCACTTTCCACAGTAGTTTTCTGCAATGGACTGCTCTACCTGAAATCATCTGCCTGCAGCAGAAAACACACTTAACATAAGAGCACTTGGTTCTGATGCATTTTGGGCAGCTCTTGAGAGGAGTGAAAGTCATGCTGAGACTCCATCTGAAGGGGTGGCCATGAATCCATTCCTGTGTCTGGGAAGAGGGAGATGCTCTTCCTGCAGGGTCTAAACTTGGAGAAAACCTTCTCCTTTGAAGTTCATGTAAACCACCACTACCTCAACATGAGGCTGTTCTGCACTACTGCTCTCAGTGTTCAGCACCAGCTTCCTCCAGCCCTTCCAGGTTTTGGCTCTTGTTTTACTGAAATTCAGGTAGTTAAGGTTCTGTTTTCTGGTTTGAAACAAATGCTGAATTTGAGCCTTCAGCTACTTGCGTGGCAAGGAGAAAAAAAAAAACCACTTAACAAAAGTAGCAATAGATAGATGATCTCACCATGGTTCCTTACCCTGGGGCAGAAGGGGTGAGAGTGAAATTTTATTAGAAATAATAACAGTATATGTAACTAAATTCCAGAAGGGTAAGGTGATGGATTTGTATACACAAAGAAACTCCCCCAGAACACACAGATGAACTGCAAATTGTTTTATTCAGTGATAGGTACTTTGCAAATATAGAGGACTTTGCATAATTTCCATTTTCCTTTGCAACATTTAAAGATTCCTTCTATTTTACAAAATGCCACTGGACTAAAATGAAAACATAAACATGTCTGTGTAAATGTAGAAATTAGAACAGCAACACCTCAGCCATTTCTCTTTGCCACTGGAACCAGCCAGGTAAATGCTGGCAGCATCCCAAAGCAGACAGGTAACTTGGTCTGTTACACTGAAATGCTGTTTTCTGCAGAGGAGAATGACTGTTCTGCAAGAGGGATGAAGTTTTAAGGCTGTGAACTCCTTTGTACAGATTATCTTCCTTTTTTGTTAAAATTACAACAGATCTCAAAAGGCTTTTGCAGCCATAGAGGTTCAAGACAACTGTTTACTGAATGTAAATCAGCATTTAAAATAACAACGCTATGGTAAAACTGGATACAGAAACTCAGGTTAAATTATTGCACTCAGAACAGTTTTACCTTTGCTGTGCCCAAGTAAATGTGTCTCACTAAGGAAAGTAACAAACACTGAACTCCTGCAGTGAGAGTGGAGATCAGTGACTTCTGGCCTTGCTTCCATGCTCCCTTGTGCAGGTGACTCCTTGAAGAGGCTCTCATCAGGTCCTGGACTGCAGAGGAAGCCGGAGGGCCAAGTCTGTGAAATGACTCATTTCAGGCTGTTTGCTCTTCCTCTTGATGTATTCTAGGGTTTTCACCTAGATTTGAAAAGAAAGGTATTTGGAGATTTTCAGTGTCTCATTTCATAGCCATCAGTTCATCTTTGTGAAGGTGTTTTATCACACTCATTGTCATGTATATGTTTCTTAAAGTCTCTCAAATGCCACTTTACCAGCTTTGACCAGGCAGTTCCTCCACAATTTAAAAATGCAGTATTTCTCTTAAGGCTAGTTCTCTGTACTGAACAAAAAGTTAACAACCAACACTTTCAGGTTCCTTAATGCTTGTCATACCATTAAAATTCTAGAAAGATACAAACCACTTGAAATAAGAGAAGCTGCTTGTTCATTAGGAAGCATTTAGAAAAATAACTTGTTGGGGTTTTAAGATAATTTGATTTTTTTAAGATAGTAGCTTGTGAAGAGATGCCGTTTATTCACATCAAGAAAATGCTACCTTTTCCCAAATAAAGAGTGGAAAAATATATTAAGAACTAAAACCTCTCTGCAGTATCTGTCTCCCTGCCTTACCATAGTCTTGGTGTCAGCAAAGCCATGCTTCTGAGCAAGATTCCAGAGATTGACTGAAAGCTGGTTCAGTCTGTTGTTCCGTAGGTCCCCATGAGCCAGGATGGTGTTAAAGAAATAGAGTGCCAGCTGGCTCTGCCTCTTCAGGGTCTAGGATGAAAACAAAAATATTCCCATGTTACTGTACACTCATCCCAAAATACCCAGCTTAACCTCAGCAGCTTCTCTGAGCCCTCAGAAGTTCAAAGGGCACTCCTTTTGTGACACACAGCCATAGTTACAGACATAAGAACAGAGTTTTCATATTCCATTCAAAATGCAGCAAACAGCCCTAGCTGTAAATCAACATAAGCTGCTGTAAATAAAATAATTACTCAAGACTCCTACACCTCACAGCACTTTGGCACAGCACAGTGTGTAGGTCTGGCACATTTACAACTCCAGACTCCCTACCACTGCACAGAAATCACCCTCCCACCAACCAACCCTGTACTCAGAGCACCCTAGCTGTACATTTTTAGAGAGACCACTGCCATCAGTCTAAATTAATGCAACTTCAGGCTTTTGTCTCCCCAGTCTATTCTACTTTATTTATTTATTTAACCAAAGATATTTTTCCCTGCTATTCTTTCACTGAAACTCTGGTGATACAAACATATTTGCACCATATTTTTAGCTACTTCCCCTAAAATTCCTGAGGGGGGACCCTAAGGGCATAAGAGCAGTTTTCCCCCCACACAAAGCAAAGAGGATTCACTGCTCCATGTTCTCTTGACCAGAAACAGCTTGAACTTTACAGAACTGTCCAAACTAAAAATTTCCATTCCAGCACTGTCACACAAATGAAGCATTCTCTAATACTGTGAAAAGACCACACTGTGTTAACAATAAAACGCATTGTTCTCTTCCGAGTTGCCATTCTGGCGAAAGGATTTTATTGTGAGAAAAAATTATTTTCTTTTATAGCTTTTAAAGGAAATGAACCAATAAAAACACAAAATCATTAGAGCCTTGTTCATTTAAATGAGCAACCAAGAAGATGAATAATAAAAGGTCACCAGCACTGAAGCAATCCAAATACCACAGTGATTTTATGACCAGCTTTACTTTAGCACAATTAGAGATCTCTGACAATATTCTCATCACTTCTATTTCCTCAGCAACAACAGCTTCATCAAACAACTATTCATTCTTACAAAGCAATTTTTATCTAAATCTCTCAATGGCTTTCACTCAGCAAAGCAAAATAAATGTCCCTCTTTGTAAATAAGGATGGACAGAGGAGCAAAGCCAAGGCAAAGGCAGGCCAAGCACCTGTATCTGTGCTGCTCAGCCTAAAATCCAGTTTTCTGTGCAACAGCCTCAGTGAACTAACACAGCATCTCCCTACTCATGCTTGAAAGGAAAAAACAAACAAAAAAAGGCCTTTCAGAAACCATGGATTTCAAGACCTACAAACATTCCTACCCACAAATTCCATACAGGAGTCAGATGCAAAAAAATCCCTAATATACAACCCACATTCCTGAAAACTGTTGAAATTTCCTTCCAAGACCTGGACCATTGGACATTCTTAGCTGTGCTAGAATGGTTGTTTCTGCTGCTACTGTTCTGAAAAAGAACTGCTGTTCCCTGAGGTGATGTGTACAATGATGCAGAGGATTTGAGCAAAGGATATTTTCATCTTGTATCTCTGCCACTGCTCAAGGAAGGACAAACAGGATAGCAAAAGCAGAGAAAAGGCTAAACTTAGCACAGTGTCCTCCCAATATGTATCACTTAACACATTCTGTATTGGCAAACACTCTGGGCTACTGTGCAAATAGCCCATCTAAAAAATTCCATCCAATCAATCACGCCCTGCCCTCCCATTCCAGGCCACCAGCCACAGGATTTCTATCAATAGAAGCCATCCAGTAAGGGCTGACTGGGAAGCTGTCCATTCTCAGAAACAGGTACATTAACAGAACAGTGAGTTCTCATTATTTCAGCAAACATCAGTCACCTGCCTTTCACATACAATCCATTAAGCTAGATTTGATCCCTCAGAGCCTCTGAATTCCAATCAAGAAATTCAATAAGCTGCCTAGAGTTTTCTTTATTTTATATTGAACAAATATACTGAAGTCAGAGTAAAGACAAAACAACTATTTCCTCCCTCTGTACCTCTCTCCTGACATCATCTTAGTGCCTGTGATCTGAAACTTTTATAATTATAGGTGGCTTTCACTGTATTTTCCCCAGTAATAAAACTGTGAATTCTCACTTTGCTCATTACAGAATTGGACATCATTAGGTGTCTCCACCACAAGCCTGCCTATGTGGTCTCACTTTCTAAACAAGTACAAATACCCAATTTCCTTTTGCTATGAGGTTCCTGAAGCTTTTGAAAAGACCAAGGCCTGGTCAAAGGGGGTCTGTTTCTTCAACTCCAAATTACTTTTGGGTTTGTATTGACTCAAGCTGAGTAAGAACATACCTCCTCCTTTCCCAGGGTTTTCAGGTGATCCAGGATCTGTGACACCACTGTCTCACTCAGTTTATTAATTTCAGCCAGGAACTTGGAGTCTCCACCATACAGAGTATCATTGGAATCAACTGCAGAGATGAATTCAAGCTTAGGTCTGGCCAAAGAGCTATACATTTATTTGCTGTTGGAAACATCATGTATTGATAGAAGACCACATTTGGAAGTCATAAAATGACTCCATAAAATGACCCTCCTCCATGAAACACAAACAGAACTGGTTTTTAAGTGCCTACCACCTGGTTGCCTACTATGTCCTTTTGATTTTAGGAGCAAAACCCTAAGAATCTTTTAGCTTAAAGCCAGTCCTGTACTCCTGGATGCAGCCAGGCTCACAAATATCCCCTAGACTCAATGTTAAGCAACATATCATGTCAATTTTCAGGCTTCCCACAGACTCCCTGCTCCCATCACTTTAGAAGAGTATGGCCATCATCTACAATGGCATCTACACTGGGCCAAACAATTTGTGTTTTATTTAGTGAAAATAACCAGATTTTCAAAAAGAAACTGCATTTTTTTTTCCTTAAAATAAACCCATGATTACCTCAAAGTAATGAATAGAAATTCAGAAAGTGTATTTTCAGTTTCAAAGACCTTAAAGGATTCTTAGGAGGGAGAGAGCTCTTCAAGTTTTTACAGCTTATATAATTGTGATTTTAAACATGTCTTCTGCCCTAATTTATTTATGTTCTATTAAGAAGAAGGGCAAAAGATTTTTTTAGGTTTAAATATATTCTAGGTAAATCAGAAAGCACAATAGATGAAAGATAATACCTTGTTTCCAAGTAAACTTAATTTTAAGAAGCTAAGGTACAAGATCCACCTAGAAAAAACCCCCATTGCCCTACTACAGGGGGAGAATTACTAATTTATATTTCCATGCTTCTCTCCATTAAAATCTAATTAATTTAGATTTCTCATCTTGGGATTATGCAGCTATTTTGGTTATAATGGAGTGAAAGAAAAAGCTAAAGCACACTTCCTTACAGAATTTGAACAGCAGATTTACTACAGGGGAGCACTTCCACTGACAGCTATTTTCTGTGCTGCTAACTGCAAGAGGTGTTTTGTCATGGGTGGTAAATCTGTCAGACTGTTCACCAGAACTGCAGAACACATTCCAGCCTTCCCCTCTGTGAAAGTCTATGCAACAAAGAAAAAGTCAAACCATCTTGGCCTCTCTGACTCATTAATCTTCAGGGTGCTTGAAAGGATTTTTATTTATTACTCTACCTTAATTTAGTAATCTATAATCAGAAGGCAAATATTCAAATTTTAGAGCATATATCAAAATATTCCAAAAATTATTACAAAAAAGATGACAGCTATTTTTCAAAAGGTAATATCTTTAGAATTTTCTAGCTATTCTGAATATTTTTGCAAGTTACTGCAATTTCCAGAACTCAAAGCCTGCCTTCAAAGCAGCAAATACATCATTTAAATAATGAAGACCAGGCTTTACATTCTGGAAACTGGAGTTGTTAATAAATGTGGATGAAACACCAACGATAAGTATAAATCAAGTTGATGCTTTAGACTTAAATAAAACCCTTCATATGCATAATCTTTACTTGAAAGTTCACATTTATAAGCATTTGCACCAACACCACCAGAAGCAAACTAAGGAACCCACTCTGCACAGATTCACTTGAAAGAACAGACTGCACCTGTTCAGAAGCCAACTCCTGGATTAATCTAAGTTACAATACCTGGAACTGGATAGAAAAATAATCCATCCTGTGAGCCTGATTACCACTGGTCTTCATTAACTGGCTGTGGTGATAAGACATGTCCTACCAATGTCCTGGTGGAATGCCAGGAGCCAGAGCTCCCCTTAGGTATTACCTTTATCTACATGGTAGATAAATGCTTCTTGAGTCATTGCAGACAGCAGATGCAAAACATTAGTATAAATCCTGACTTTGTCATCACTGTTATCCTCCCAGGTGTAATCCTGGATCACATTCAGTAATCCTCGCACAAGGAACAACACTCCTTGCTCTGGGTGGTCCTACAGAGAAGAAAAAAGATAGACCAAAACCAACACCACATCTCTGGAACAAAAATAGGATTATTTGCAGCCATTCAGTGGTGTAGAGTCACAGTTTGAGCTCCATAAAAGCAGAACTACAATATAATTAAAGCTGACAGCTACTTTTCTTAAGTGTGCTTCCTACAAATCCTTTGAATTTTTTTTCCAGTTTCCATCTAAAATGCCTATTTGACCCATAAGCAGAACATGATACAGGCAACCTCCACAGACAAACTTTGAAATGCTTTGTTTTGTAGTCATGGGGGAGCAGTACAAAATTAATTGTCAGCTTCTTAACAGCTAAGCCTCTAAAATTAAACACTGGGTAGATTTCGTTATTAAAATCGTATCAGTAAGCTGTAGTGTATTACTCATAATTATGAGTTTCAGAAGAACTCCTACACTGGGAAGTCAGTTACAGACAATCAACAATCTTTTCACATGAAATGAAAAGAAAGACTCTGCTTTACAAAAGCTGGGAGGTTTTACCAGCAGCTTTAATACTGCACCAGGCTAATTCCAGCTGGCACTTGGAGGAGTGGCACCAAGACACACAGGACAAATCACAGTCCACTGGGGACACTTCCCTTTGATCTTCTGTAAATAGGGAACGGAGTTAGGGAAGCTAAATTCTGAATGCTGGCATCTTGTTGCAAGTTATTTTTCATTAGTGAATCTGAGAGGTTGTATCAGTCCTTCTTCAGTCACCTGCCAATGATCCCAGTCACTCCCTCACAGCCTGACCCCTGCAGTCAGTGACAGCAGTGACATCCCAGGGGCAGCTCCCCCTTCCCTTCCACCTTTCTGAACAGGGGACACCCCTGCCACTGCAGCAGGGGGAATGCACAGCTCTGACAGCAAGGATTTGAACAGCACCACACTGAGTGCTGCTTCACAAACAGGCAAAGGAAAAAGGAAGGAGAAAACCATAAGGGAGGTTTCAGTGAGGAGGAAAAACCCACTGTCTCCAAGAACAAATGAATATACAGGTAATTTACAATTTCCCCTCATCTTTTAGATATAACTGAAAATATTGGAGAGAAAATTACATCTCTCTCAATTTGACAGTTAGTTAAAAACTGGAAGGGTGTAGAATGGTAGTACTTTGTGAAATATTCATCAGAAGAGGAAGGTTATGCCAAAACACATCTTCTAATTATTGTTTTCACTCCAATGATTAGGCAACCTATACCAAAGTAATTGAAACTAATAGCAACTAGAGCTCTATATTTTTCCCCTCCTCATGTGTATGAGATTTTTGAATACTTAGCTAATAAACTAGTAAATGATGTTTACACAATTAAATGATGGTGAGATTTCACTCTACCCCAAATCCACTTCTAGTAAGAGGTGTTGCTGACAGTGGCAGAGCTGTGCCTCCACTCCACACAGTTGTTCTGCCTCCCCATTTTGCATTGGGGTGAGTGATTTTGCAGTCAGTGAGCAGAACAGTTCATCTTTTCACAGAAAACTAATCCCTCCATTTACCACTCCAGAAGCCCAGTCTATTCTAAATTTTTAAACAGGAAAGTCAAAATAGTCTACACTAACCTGTGTGCAACTCATACACACTCAACTTACCGGAACAACTAATAATGTGGAAAAGAAATTACACAGGAATTCCAGGAGGAAGGCATCAGAAGGTCGCATCTTTCCATCTACACTGATCGTTTTTGGCACTTCAGGAACAAGGCTCACTGCAGCTTTGAAAAAAGCATCAGCTACAAAATAAAAATAGAGTTGCTGTTGTATCATTCCAGCTGTGATGGCAGCCATGCCTGTAACCCAATGGTTGCTTTGAATTTGTTTCAAAATTCAAAGAAATTACAGAAAATGAATGTGCTGAACTGCAAAGAAACCCAAGACTCAGCAGTGGTCTGATTCTTGAGAAATCTGTTCATTTGAATGATGCTGTTTCTCCAAAGGAAGTTCCCACATCACTCAAAACTTCAGAAAGTATAACTTTTCTCCTTTGCATAACATGGAGACACCATCATTTCATATGTATTGCATATATAATAAGCTATTAGCACAGGACTCAAAATTGACTTAGCAAATCAATGCTTATGCCTGGAGAATGGGGAATCCAGACTGGGAAGAAAAGGTTCATGCTATCTTGTTCACCAATTAATTCACAAAAGGCTTTTAAGTTCTAAGGAAGTACCAACAACTTCATATTTCTAATTATTCATAATCCCTAAAAGTAAAATATTAATATAGTACCAGAACCTGGGGTAATGCTGGTTACCTAGATAAAAGAATATTTTCCAAGAATCACAATACAGGAATTAGAGAAACCATCCACCATTACAGCCTTAGCAAAATAGCTATTAAGAGGTTTTTCATACCTCTTTATTATGTCTCTAATCCTACAAAAACATGAATTCCAAACACTAGAACATCTATTCCTATTTATGAATACTCACAAATTAAAAGCAACAATATTTTCCCTCTTACACTAGAAGCCCTCCTATATATGCTGAGTTCACAAAAAAAAATTCTGACAGGAACATTGTTTTGCACTATCTTGGCAACATTTCAGAATATCCAAGTATCCACATCCCACTCAAGCTGTGGAGCCACATACTTCAAAGCATCCTTCAGAATTAATATTGTATCTTTATTTTACAGGAACAGAGACCCAGGCCATGCAATCAGCTTTTATCAAAAGCAAAAGGAGAATTCTTGGTGAAAGCCAAGAGGTGCTACGTGGCTGGGATGGAGATACCACTGACAGGCAGGCATGGGCATTTCCAGGAGCACAGCTTGCTCTGGAAAAATTCATTTGAGACTCCAAGCAAATTTTCTAAATATAGTACCAACTGATATCTAATTTAAGCTTATGAGGAATACCAGAGAAACATGTGCTTTGGAAAAACTGCAGTTCTTCTCACTCTTGTTTTTTCAGCACACAAGTGCTCAAGGACTTTTTAGTGCTTAGAACACAGACCCCTTCCATCAAACATTGTCCTTCCTTTTATTCTGCACCTTTGTTTTGAGGTGAAGGAAGGTTTATTTCAAACAACTTATAAGTTTAGACAGCCAACCCAAAGGAAGGTAAGTAATCTTTCTCTGCTTTATTTGAGGAGGGAAGGCAGGAGCAGATGTTCATTCTAGCACAAGTAAATGAATTGCTGTCACTTCCACAGTTGTCTCAGCAGAAATAAAAGTGCACATCCCACATCACCATACAATACAAACATGTGACCAGACAAATGAAAAAATGTGTCCTAGAGAATAGTCTGCATACCAAAGTACCCATGTCTGTGCAGGGAATGCTCCTGCCTTCTGAAGTTATTTCATAACAGGTCGAGAATGACCTGTGCAGCAATCAGCATCCACAGTGGAAAAGAGCTGCAAAGTTCCTCACCCTGATTTACTGCCTGCTCTCCCAGCCATCACAATCCTTCACATTCTCCTCCAAACCTCTGCCATAGTGCAAACCCAAAACCTCTTATGTTCAATTTGAAAACCTGAATTGATTCAATTTAATGAGAGCTGCCTCCTCACGTGGCTGAGCAGCTCCAGAGCCAGGAGCTGCCTGGTTCCTCACAGTGCCCAGCTCCCCACAGGGACCTGCCCTGCCACCACCTCCCTGGGCTTCCACCTGTGCCCTCCCTGTCCCTGGCAGGCACAGCTGCTGCCCCACGGCCACAGGGTCACCCTGCAAACCCCCCCTGTCCCTGCCCCAGCGCAATGGGGACACTGAGGCTCCTGCCCACACTTCTGATCCCTGTTCCTTGCCTTTGCCCCCTGCTTCCCCCACTCAATGCAGCCAGGCAAGCCAAAAAAGAACACAGCACAGAACAGTTGTACTTCACTTGGGTACATCCAGAACTGGCAAAGGAGAGACAATATGTTCATTTTTCAGTGAGCCCAGCCAGTCTGTGCTAGCCATTTTATGCTGGAACACTAAAAGCACATTTATCCAAGATATATGTGCTTCATAAGAAGCAAAAATAAATGCATATCAATGCAAAGGTTTTTGTTACAGACTGCAGAAAATGACCTGTCCTCTAAACATTACCATCCTGGCAGAGAGGTGTCAGAGTATGCATTAGATGCTCTGACTTTGGAGAAAAGGCTCACTAAAAAGGTTGTCACAGACACACTGTTTTTTCAAGTATGAAATGAGCATCAGTGTTTAATTCTGAGTTACATTAATTATGAGGTTATGCAATGATGGTTTCTCTGTATCTTTAAAAGTCAATTTCTAAAACTGTTACTGCAGAGATGTTTTAAAACAAAACCATACATCACTTTTCCTTGTTTCCAAAAGATATAAGGAACTACTTAAAAAGCACTGAAAACCACGACAATCTTATGTTCTTGATTGAACAACCAAAAAGAAGATGAAAAAGACTTCTTCTGATGAAGGATGCTGTTTTCTTATCAGCCTAAAGTATAATACTGCTGCTTAAGTGAACCACTGCTCAAGTGGATAAGGGGAGAGCAGCCTGTGCATTACAACAAATCACCAGGATGGAGCCTTCCCTGACTGCTGTTAATATCTTGTGCAGTGCTCCCAGTCTAACATACTTCATGCTTCACTACATTCATCCTTTCACAGCAGCTCCTTCATTTTGGTTGACCATAATCCTATAAATCTTTCCCCCTAGCATACATGTTGACCTTCAGGCTACAAAAACTAACAGTCTTGGATATCCAAGTCAGCACTTCCAGAATTAGCCTCCTACAGAAGAAAAAACAAGTGAAGTTGGTATTGAATGTTCTGCTCTTGACAGTATTCACTATGACACATGTACATGTTTAATTATACCTACACACAACTCTGTACCTCCATATATTTCTATATATAAAAATTCAGCTTGTATTTTCTGTATCTCTGATAGCCAATTAAACTGTACAGATTCAAGATTTCAGGTAGGCAGAAATAAGGAGGAACAAAGTCAGATGGGAAAACAATTAAGCTCCTTAAGGCCACCTTCAAAGAGCAAAAGGGAGCGAGTTGAACATACCTACCCAAAGTATTTTTAGTCACAGCTACAATTACACCAGGCTAAGTCCACCCAAAGGACAAAACCAGGACCATGCACATCTGCATTCCACACCACTTCCCTGTCTTACAACACTGTCAAACCTAATTTAATACTCTGAAGATTTTGCTTCCACATCCAACAGATGTTGGAAATTTAATGAAGCTTGTACTTCAGTGCAAGAAATTACTGGGAAGCAAGCATGGGGGTTTTGTTACTCTATTTTTTCTGTTAAATAAATTAATCCATTACTGTTTTGACAACCAAGCATTGAAAACATTTGAATCTCCTTCTTCTCACATTGGTGAGGTCATTGTGAGAGTTTTGCCACATTGTTGAAAGGTGGTTTTCCCTTGAACTACTGCTAAATGTTCTCCATCTTAAAGATCTCTACACAGTGCATCCAATCTAGAAACAACCAAGAATTGTTTGAAGGGAAAAACTTGAAATTAGAAAATGAATGCACTGCTGCTTGGTGAGCTGGAATGTACTATGTTAATTCACACTGTGAATTAGCTGCAGATAAAAAGGTAATTATGTGGATGAAGCTTGGCAGAGCCAGTTTCAGGCATAGCTTGGTTAAAGATTGTCACAAGGCATTAGTACTTGGAGACAAAGGCATGCAGAGGCATAAGTGGAAGATTTGTACAGGGCCATCACACAGCATCAGCAAGGACACTGGACACAAGAAATTTTATTCTTAAGGTGTAATCAGTAAATGCAACAAACACCCCACCCCAATGCCTCCCCTCCCACTCAGAAAAAAAACCAACCACAAATTACAGCCTGCCCCTCTAAATTACACATAATCCCTAAAGACTGAGGTACCACATCAGCAGCAGTCTCTAAAGAAAGCCCCACCAGTAATACTGAAAATTTGGAAATAACAAATGCTGCAGTTAAATACTATCATTTCTACTGTTATTATGAAGAAAAAAAAATCAAATGAGCACACATACAAAAATATGATGCAAGGCTGGAAAGTCTGTATGTTTTTTGCAGAGAGACAATTCCTCAGAAGTCTTCCAAATCATTCCTCTCTCAAGTCTTCCAAAGAATCAGCAAGATTATGTTTAAAAGTTATTCTGTTTCTAAATACTTAGATTTTTTAAAAAATGTTTTAATATTTATCCTTATAGAAATGGCTCTTCAAACAACTAAGCTGAAAGAAGATAAGGAAAAAGGTCCTCATGAGGGTACATAACTTAATAAAGGATGGGGTGGATGGGGGAAGGAGAAGGAAGAAAAAGTTTCCACAGTGGAGCAAAATAACTACTGCATTCCTTCAGGTTTTGCAGAGACATGTCCTGAGGATGAGCTGGGAGGGGACAGTGTCTGCAGACTGCCCTGGAACGTGACTGCAGAGCATCACAGATGGATCTCAGGATTCTGAGCAATAAAGCAGCAGATGAACTCTAATATTAGTATGGCATGTGGGGAAAGAAACAGCCTTGCTATAACTATAGAAAGAGAAGTTCTAAAGAGGCTATTTACACTCATGAAGGATTTTGGAGTCATTATAGATGGTTTCCTGAAAACTACATCCTAAACAGCTGTTGAAAAGGCAAGGCAGTTATAAGAATCACTAGGAGAGTAATGGAAAACTGAGGTGCCATTGTATCATTTAGATTGCTGTTGGGCATTTATACCTGGAATAATCTAATCTAGTCCCAATCTTCCCAATTCTAAAAGCACAAAAAGAGAGAAGAGGTGCTAGGACCTGTTTACTTATTAGAAAAAGCAACACTGACAACGACTTCAGGAATTTACAGACTACATTATCTCACAGACAGAAAGAAGAAAATTCATCAGAAGTGGTTAAATTCTGCTCCAGCAGATCAGCTGCATGCTCTGAGCCATTCACCTAACATTTAACATAAATTAATCCCTAGACTTCCAAGTAGCAGATCACTGTGGAACTCACTATCACATGAAATTACAATGACCAACAAGTAAAAATTGATTAAAAATATTAAATTCCTAAGAACTTATCCATCTATTTTATTAAATACCACTGTCTGGTCCATACACAAGCTTTGTTGAAGGATGTATTAAATCACCTGCACCTGAAAGCCAAGAAGCATCATTCTACATTATTGTTTCCCTAGGAGATGCTACAAGACACTTTCAAAAACAGGTCATGGGCTAGACAGACTCGAAGAACTGACAAACTGATATAAAGTACTGGTCTGAAAAGCTTACAGAGACAGAGATGTCACCTCTCTCATCATACAGAAAAGTGATTGGCTGGGATAAAGAGAGGAACAAGAAAAAGCTCAGGGAATGGCAGAAGTCTCCAGCTGTGGAAGTCCCAGGTAACACAAGAGGTCACAGCTGTGTCCACAGGAAGCAACACTTAGCATTGCTAGTAAGGAAAACAGCATCACATCATGCTTTTCCCAAAGCTCTTTTACTGCCTTTCCTTACTTCAAGGAAAGCAGTATTTAAAAAGATAACAGAGTCACCATATACCATTCTCACCATAGAAACATGAGCCAAGAAGTCCTAGTATTTGTAATTATGAAAATCTCCTAATGTTCCTATTTTTCTAAATTCATACTCTCAAATTCTCTCCATTTATATTCTTCAGATCTATAAAGATTTCAGGAGATTAAGAAGAAATACTAGAAATTGTTATCTAATGGTACTTAGAAAATACTCTAAACCATTATTAGACTATGATTTAAAATTACTAATTAGATATTCCATACCATACTTTCTCCAGAGCGTGACTGAAGCATTTAGAGAATACTCATGGAAAAGTAACATTTTCTGCAGTAGAAATGAAATTATTTTCCAATCTACTAGGTGTAACTCTGTTTTAGCCACAACTGGAAAACAAAACAAATACCTAGAAGTGCATTAAGCACTCTATGCTTCAAAATTAAAATCTGCATTTGCTAAGCAAAAAGGTCTGCAGCAGTTTATCTGAGGGAGAAGCTCTCCATTTTTATAAAGTTTAATGTTTGACAATATCCCAGTGAAATCAGTCAGACAGAACAAGCTCAATTACCTTATTCACTCAGCATGTTATTTCTCAAGTGAGGCAAAGATTTCACAGCCTTTAAAACAAAAATGCTGTTTAACACACATTACCAGAAAGTTATGTCATCTCTACCACCTGCTGAATGCTGTGACCAAACATTAAAAACTCATGCTGTCTCTTTTTTTCACAGACAAAAGGAAATGTGTGCAATGAAAATCATACCTATATCTCAGAAGTCCAGAAGAGTGACACAATGGAGCCTGCATTTAATCAAAATTTAGTCCAAGCACCCCCATGACAGGAAGCATGACCAATGAGAATTCATTGTTCTCTGTTGGCAGCATGCAGTGCTCAGTGGCTCAGTTAAGAGAAATGAAAAGCTCATCTCTGTAAAATCTAGCATCTTCCTTTCAAAGGTGGGCTCTTAATGGGCTCTCCAGAGGTACAAACCATGCATTCAGGGCAAATTCATCTAAAACATTTTAAACATAATTACAGATTCATTTCATTTAAAGCAGGTCTTGGGATCTGGAGATGAAAGAGACAACAGTCATTTTTGATATATTCTGAACATTCCCAGACAGACATCCACCAGTGTATTACTGCTGGAGTTTCATGAGCCTACAAATCCACATTTCTGACCCAATTCATTGTCTTAAAGAAAATCTATTCCACAAAATATTACAATTTTCTAATACTGAAGTATTTGGATGAGTCCAAACACTTGATTTGATTGAACAGTGTGGGAAATCCAAGCAAGCAAGGCTGGGACAGAGGAAATGGGAGCAGTGAGACACAAGGACTGATGGCTACTACTGCTGCTCCTTGAAACTGGGAATGAGGCAAAACCCAAACTTTTCCAGCTATAAGCAGATTAGCTGTGGCTCTCCAGCTGCTGATAGTTTATCAAAGCAATCCTCAGGCTCATAAATCCATTTATTGTTATGACCTGCACATCCTTCTTTTTCTAGATAGATACACTGGCAATTCAGAGAAATCTTCCTACTGCCAACAGAAGCTGTGGAACTCAATTTGTTATGTGCTTAAGTGAAAAGTCAACTCACAAACAGCTGGACTCCGCAGAGAAACTTAAAATTGAGAAAAATCCAAGACTTTACCTTGCTACAAACAGCAGCTGGAATCTTCAAGGAGGAAATGCATGCACAAAACTCATGTATGCACCACTGCTGACTGAGCTATCAGATCAGGTACATTACCTTTCAGCTTTATTTCTCTTCACAATTTTAAACCAATTAAACTAATTCAAATCAGCATGAAATAAAGGTTACAGACAAGGCACAGTTTCCCTTCCTGGCCTAATGATATCATTAATGGCACACTCTTAAATCTTCACTTCATGCTGCATTGGTTTTAGTAGATCAGTGTCTAATTGGCACCAGTTAACTGACTGAAGTGAAATTTGCTGTTATGAATTAATCAGTACTTCTTTCTCGTTCAGCTGAGATACAGATTAAACTGAGTGAAAAGTAACTTTCAAGGACACATTATGTGACTTTAGTGCATCAACATATGGAAAGACAGTTCACAAAAAATGTCCCAAGACAGTGTCTGTTTAACACATGCTAAATTACTCATGCAAGTGACATGTCTCTGAGTACAAATTATACCCAAAATAGCCTTGCTAGGGGAGCAAAAAAGTGATTAACTATATAACCTTGGTAAATGAAGTGAGTTACTGAACATCAGCTTTCCTCTTGCTTCATTTTAACAAAAGCAGAGATGGATCAAATGCTCCTCTCTCTAGCTTGTGGACCTAAAGTTCAGGAGACTGTGGTTAATGAACATGCATTTTAGAGACTGAGTTCATAATGCTTTGCATTTATCTGCTACCTTAAAAGATTTCAGGATGGGGATCCTGCAAATTGTTTAGTGAGTGCACTGTATTCATATGTCAAACAACAGCTGTGCACACTTGTAAACCCTCACACTGAATAATCTGGACAGTTGCTGGGGCCCAGGAGTCTCACTCAGAGAAGAACTGGATCACAAAAACAGTTTAAAAGCAGTTTGTAAGTTGAAAGGTATTAAATCACAGAGTGGGTCCCAACATGGTCAGGGAATAATTCTCAAAGACCAAATATTACAGAAAAACTGCTTTGGATTTGTTTCCAGTTAGAGAAACTCTGCAACACAGCAACAAAAATGAAAACTGACATACAGGATAAGGTAAGCTGGTCAATTAGATAAAACACCACAGAGAGAAAAGGTGAGCCCATTTTATGTGAACTCTGAAAGCAACTGCTAATGCTAATGGCACAACAACAGACTTTGCAGATCTTTTATTTGCACAACAAACTTGGACACGACAGTCAGCTTTACTCTAAATCCCTCTGCTTTGCTGTATGGGCAACATCAGATTCAAAACAAAGAAATGAAACAGTCACCATGCACTAAAAGTCTTAATCAGCATCCTAAGTCAGCTTGTTTGTGCAGCTGGAACTTGCTGGTAAATGCAGAGCTTGGAAAACAAGCTCTCGTGAAGAAGCACAGAGCTAACACAAAGAATTAATAGCCACAACAAAAGATGTTGCAAAGTAATCCAATTTATTACTCTCACAGCCCCACTGGAAACATGTAAAGGACAAGCACTTACTATTGGAGAGCAGACATTTAATGTCAGGATTAAAATTGCAAAACAAAGTAGAATGACATCACTTCAAAAAGGAAAAGAAAAATACTGCAAGCAGTTAAAAGTATATGAAGACTCTTGGAATAGATAACTGACTTCCATTTGTAACATGAACAAGATCATATTAAATGGTGATACAGATTTAATGCTCATTCTGATGCCAGAATAGCTCCCATTTTTTTCCCCAAATCACTTTTTGTCAGAATCTACTATTACTTAACACTGAACTAACAGGATGGCTGAAAATGTGCTCAGGCACATTTCAATCAATAATCTAGATCCAAAAAAAGAAAATATATTTTTCAGTCTTCATGTGATCTGATATTACACCATTGTTTCACTCTGATATAGTGGCACATTTTCCTGGCTAAGCATTTGTCATGCAGGTGCTTTGATAGCAAGTTTCTACTGTCACTGATTTAACCTGGAATTCTTTTCCAGCTCATTGGTGAATTTTGTCAGTCTGTGAACTACTACACAGATGTTTTTATTTCTTTTTTCAGTTATAAAGCACATTATTTCTGATTAGAGTGCTTGCATAATTATGCAGGAGAAAAGCTTTCCATAATTCCTAAGCAATTTAGGACAACCCACCTCATGGCCAGGACTATGTCAGCTGCAGTCAGCTGTCCTGGCTGTGGAGATCCCATTGAAGAGCTGCTTTCATGTGACAAGGTTTGGCTTTAACAGTGTTTGAAACAGAGCTGTATTTTCATTACATCATAAATATACATATGACTTAGGATATCAACCAAGTTATTATTCAGTTAGAAATGTTTCTGAAATAAGAGAACCTTTAAGTAGCCAAATTCATGCCTTACCTTGTGAAAGGCACTGATTTGCCAGAGCAACCTGTCCAGAGTGCAGATACAGATTCAGACGTGTGAAGATACTACTCAGAGATGGAATGGTAATGAAGCAGAAGGCAACACAAGCCTAAAGTAAATTTTAAAAAATTGAATAAAATTCCTATCTCAGAGTTATAACAATTTACTGATTTAATACACAATTAGGAATCAAAACCTAAATCAGTTTTGGAAAACATTTTCAACACAAAGTAAATATTATGTGAAGCCCAAAATCAGCAACTTTAAATTTCTAATGAGTATTTTAATAACTATATTTTTTTTAATTGTTGCTATTACTAGATAAGCCCAAAACTGACTCTCTATGACTGTAGCTCAAGGAGTTCCTCTCTTCTCAGGTAACCACCTTGCAGCTCAAGACCAAAAGCTACCTAGAAGAGGAGATGAGGGTCCTCAGGGGAAGCCATGTGCTCAGTGGCCAGAGCAGGTGGCCTGAGTGCACAGGGAGGAAGCAGATGTAGCCCAGGGGCTGCAGCTGCAGAGCAGTGGGCACAGCCCAAAGCCCTGGCCAGGGCAAGGAGCCCCCAGGCAGAGAGAAGCCCCAGGGCAGCCCAGGACAGCACACAGCTGCCAGGAACTGCAGCACACTCAAACAGCTGCCCACGTGCAGTGGACACATCTTGGTAGCCACATTTCAGGTTGGAAGAAGGGAACACAAGCAGCCTGGGTATCCTGTGATGGCCTGTGCACAGCTCAAGGCACATTTGACCATCTCCATCTCAGAGGAACTAAAGCTGAAAGGAGCACCTTATTTGAAATTCAAATCCTGATTTCAGCATATCAGCACTGATATTATGAGACAGAAGTTTGAGTACATTTTATACCCCATCTCCCATTCTCTCTGTGACAGAGTTACATAGAAATTTGGTATTTTATTTAAAATACAATTTGAAAAGCTGAGCTTTCCAGAATTCACACAAACACCTCTCTGGTGAACCTTCCTTTAGAGAGGGAGTCAGTCTTGCTGCTCTTTTTCAACACAAAGCTGCTATTAGGTGGTTTGGGTCTTTTTTTTCCTTAAACAGCAACATTTGGCTTCAGAGAGGAAAGACTCTTAACAAGAGAAAATGGAACGACAAACAGTGTCAAAAAATACTAACATACTAGTTTTGCAAAAATGATAAACTTAGGTGGCCGCAGACAGTACTACCTGCAAAGAAAGCAGGCTCAGAGTTTATTATCAGACCTACCCTGACAAATGCAGCAGTTTTTCTGGAATGATTTCCTTTCATCACCCTTCTGGTTTCCATTGCTAGTTGGTTCACAGACTGCACACACAAAACAAAAGCAAACCATTAAGAAAAATGCACAGCCTCAGTGGCAAATGACATCCTGCATGTTCTACTGCATGCATTCAGAGAACAGCCAGTGTCCAAAGGAACCCTGACACAGTGTGTCCCTACTGTACTATCTTCTTTTTATTGGGAGAATTTTGGTGACTTCCTTAAAGCAAATATAACTCAATTTGTGAAAGCAGACTTGTTTTATTCAAGTCTTTAGCTTATCACTTCCTTCCCAGCTATAGTGCTATCACCTCCTTGCTAGCATAGCAATCATGATTTCTAGCTAACACAGATTAAAAAACCATAAACCAAAATAACAAAAGGATTTAAGGGAAGATACAATGCTGCAAAGGAATCAGATGCAGCTAATGCACACCTGTGGCTCAATACAGAGAAGAGATTAACCTTCCCAAGCACAGCAGGACTCTGCCTGGATCTGCAGCCAGACACAGCCTAATCTTTCCTAGACAGAGGATTACAGAAGAGGCAACCCAAATTCTGAATGCACAAGAGTGCCATTTATTTTATTATACATGAAATCTCTTGGAAGGGTGCCCATTTTCTTTGTTTCAATGGTACCATGCATGCCTGTCAAGCAAGAACTTCAGAAAGCTTACAAGGATAAAACCAGAGATGAGATCAAAGCTCGCTTCATAAAACACCTGATTAAAATACTTCAGACTTATTTTGCAATAGATCTGAGCAGGGAAGGGGAGAAATGCAAATATATCCCCATTTATTAAGGAAAGGTAGATAAACTGTGGCTTACATGAATCAGCTGGACTAGAACAGGCTCCAGATTGCAAAACATTGACCTGGCTTCAACATAGAAACTCAGCTGTTGTTCAAAGTCACGGCCAAATGAAACCTGTAAGAGAAAAAAGGCCCCAGACTTTACCACTGTAGGCCTTAAATATATGTAAAACTGCATGCAGATAAACCAGAGCTATTCAAAAGTCAAAATCCCCATATAGTGCTAAGGAGAAAACCCAGCAGTAACAAGTAACAGCAGTCAGAGAATCTCTGTTCTTTTAACTGTCTGCAATACTTGAGCTTTAGGGAAACATGAAAGTTTTACTGTTTTAGTTTTTGGGTTTTTTATCTGTACTCCACATGAGGGTCTACTTTACAGATCAAGTATTTTTCAAGAAAAAAAAATTTAAGCCCTGTTTGTGAAGTGTTTTCAAACCTAGCAGAATTCTTGATTCTTCATCAGAGAGACAAAGGCTTAGTTTTGATCATACTTAAAAAGCAAAACAAAAAAACCCAGAATCATAGAAATAGATCTGTGAATCTATATTCAGATTCCTCTAATTTCTAGTTGATAAAGGCCTCCAACAGAAAACAGCATTTTTCCTAATTAGGTAAACCAATAAGAAAAGCAGGTTTTCCTCGAGTTTGGTTAATTAATACATGCTTATATAGTATGGCAAAAGCCTGTAACCTTGCATTGTGGCAGGAAAGAAGTCAAAAAACAACCTTAGTGTGAGAACAACCCTCTTCCAACCCTGTAGATTTAACAAAACCCAAGTGCTGTCAGCTGGAGTGTCTCAGCTGTCAATTAAAAGCAGAGCATGAGGAACATTCTCCAGGCAGTCTGTATTTATGCATTCTATTGCAATTTTTTTTCCTAATAGAAGTCAAGGTTGCATTATTTATTATTTCTCAAGTCACATGCAAAAGAATTTTTTACAAAATTAGAATAAAATTTACATTTAATCCATACAGTGAAAGATCAAAGCAACTGCACCAGAAAACAAAGGATTCCTTCTCACAATACAGCCAACTGTCTTTGCTTTTCCTCTATTTGTACAACTACTGATTCTTGAGTCCTAGTCTCAAGAAAATGTACCCAAAAATATAAATTTTTACACCAAAAAGACTGACTGTAAGGATGACTGTAACAATTTCTTTTCCCTCCTTAATGTGTGCTGGTTTAAATTCATAAATAGTCATTTTGCTGCTTTGGGATTTTCTCCCCCCAAACCAGGACTATCAAGACACATCAAATTTTGTTAATGCAAGAAATCCTCCTAAAGGAAATTATACTGCATGTAAAGCTTAATAAAGCAAGACTATATTAGAACATTAATTAGCAAATTATTATAGTCGAAGAAAAAGCAACCATCTAGAGTAAATCCATAGAACTACAACAAAGAAGAAAGAGGACAAGTAGACACAGAGCCTGACAGCTCTATGTGAAAGGAAAACCAGGCATTGAGAGTACATGCTTAGAGAATATAAAAAGCTTGAGAAAGTCTCCCTAAAACAGCCTAACATCTCAAAACCAACAGAGACCAACAAAAGATTTATTGGAATAAGAGTGAGGGATGGGCTAAAGACTGATTTCAAGACAGAACACCTGGGGTTCTCCTGGGACTACTAACTTAATTATACAAATTAATTTATTTATAAATTAAGATAAACAGAGACAGAATAACAAAAAGTTACACTTATTTTGTATTTTTGAAAGCTGGTATTGGTTCCATTTAGAGCCAAGTAGTAGAACTTCCTTCACCTAAACCAGTGACCTCTCTGATGCTTCAGTTGCTGTTTAACTTTTAAATATGTGCTCTGTTTTACAGATTTATAAAACTAGCAGAGAATATGATGAAATAAACAACATGTGTACTTTAAACTTTCATCTTGCACCACCAGCTTCAGCACTGTGAGACATTTCTTTGACCACAGACACAGTTATCTCACTGAACTGCAGTGCCTGTGCTTCCTGAAGCAAGTCAGACTGGGCTCTGGCCCAGCCACACAGGCACCTGCTCCCCACGGGCACTCACAAAAATCCAGGCTCCAGGGTGCCCCCAACACTTGCACACAATGGTCACTCACCATTTTTATGAATCCATTTATCAGAGCTGCTAACATTCTTTTCTCATCCTCAAGTGTTAGTGCACTAGAAAAAAAAATTATTTGGTAAATTTTAGAATATTGTTTATCCTATTTATCTATAAAGGTTCAAAGTATACATAATATTTTATAAATTTATTTGTATAAAGCTAATTTTAATGTGAATATCACAAAGTCAGCCATGAACCAATCCAAATTACAGATTTCTTAAAAAGTGAAAATTTCTGAGTGTCTTTAGACTCCCAAAAAAACTCAGGCTTTGGCATGAGGAGAAGGAAGCTACACTAATATTTTTTATTGTAGCAAACAAATGGCTTCAGTCTTTTGTTACAACATGAGAACTTGAGTAAGAATTAAATCTAAAAACCTAAAGAAATTACTAAGCCTATTCCTACAAGAAAGTTATCCTATTTAAGGAATAAAGCTTTTGAAATACCTTTTAAATGTTATACACTGTAGAATACAATAAACATACTAGTTTATTGTTTCATTTGGGGTTTGTTTTGTTTAAGGTTTTCTGTTTTAACTAACCTTGCCTCAGAATTGAAAAAATAATTAACTTCATCTTGCTACAGTGCTGGTTTTCTTTATGTTTTAGTAAGAACTGAACTAAACTGATATGTAAAAAAGGAGTTCCTTTTCAAAACTATCACAGACACCTATTCTACACCAAGAGTCCAAAATCTGATTTGTAACAAATTTACATCACATGAAAATCCAGTCAGTCAAACCTGTTTCACTGAAAATGGATGAACAAAAAGCTAAATTACAATTAACTAATAGAATTGAATCCCTTTACTAGTATATGCTTGGCTCCAGCTTTGACCTTTAGTGTATCAGTTACCAATTTCCAACTCAGACACCAGATGGGAAGAGAACAATAGTTTTACTATACAAATTCAGTAAGGGAGGAAAGGAAACCTCAGCATGATTAGCTCATTAGTGCATTGCCAATCAAAAGAGTCAACTGATGGGCTCTGAAAGGCTCAGAAGGCTTGTAATGAGATCTCCAGGTCAGTAATAGGTTTCCAGTTCAATTGAGCATCAGCCCCCTAGCAGTCCAAAGGCTGTTATCCTCCAGCAGCTGTTCAGGGGTCAGAGAACCCCCACAATGGGCTGGAGTTCCCTCAGACAGGGTGCAAAAACAGATGCAGGAGTTACTTAAAGATAACTGGAATTTAGGATGATTTACCAAGAGATGTACAACCATCTCAGCTCAAGGAACTGCTGGTTTAAGGGATTTTAAATGTCCCAGTAAATGATCAAATTGTTTTGGCAAAACGTCAGAGGAAGCACCAGTATGGATTGCTATAAACTGCTTTATTTTTTTTAATAAGCTGCTTTAGGTAAAATATATTGCTCTATTTGAAGGCTGAAGTGGCTTTTAGTGCAACATACAGCCAAATAAAGTTCTCTAACCCAAAATAAAGCACTCTAGCTGGTATAAATTTGAATTACATGCTAAATCTGACCTCTTTATTGACAATAAATCTTGCATTCATGGCCTATCAAGGATGAGAAAGTTTTAAGTTCCTTTGCAGCATCTGTCATACTAAGAGGCTCTGGGCTCAGAGTGGCAAAAGAGACTGTGCCCTTACAATTCAACCCAAACCAGAATGAAAAAAGGAGGTTTGTCCTCTTGAGAGCTAGAATTTGCAGCACTGTGATGCTGGCTCTGTTTTCAATCAGACACAGTTTTTGGTGTGATTTTTGCAAATTACCTACAAACCACACTGCTTTCTACACTGCACAACAGTGAGGGTGCAACAGGGCACAGGGGATCCCAAACAACCTCAGCTCTCAAAGCCAAGGGCAAAATACAAGAGGAGGAATTAGGGGAAAGACAGAGATGGTTCAACAGCTTCTCAGTTCTACCTTCCCCTACTGAAGCTCCTAGAGATCTTCCAGGTTTCTTTTTAAAGTCTTCACACCCTTTCTAATGCCTGAAAACACTGACCCATAAAAAGGTATAATTGAGTATGGCAATCTGTGCTTTAGTAGCTACACATTCACTTGAAACTCAGAAATAGCTTATTATTCACTGTAACTCAAAGATTACATTGGTTTCACCCTCAAAGTGTTTTGAAGATTGGATTGTAAAGTGTCTCTGCTTCACTGGAAAACTACAAAACCACTGCTACTTCCTTTTTAAAATTCTGCTTCAGTATTCAAAATCCAGCAGTAATTAAAGAGCAAATGGGACGTGCTGCCACTTCACTGCACAGCTCTTCCCTCAGCACTAATTGGATTCATGTCTTAATCCACCTTGAAACAAACAGCCCCAGAAACACGAAACCACGTCAGGCAGCCCCACTCTGCACGAGTGAGAGCTCTCAGCAGAGGTTCCCCTTACTTCACAGAGTCGTGCATGGTCTTGCAGACGTGCAGGAGAGCATTGAGGATGACAGGATCCTTCGTCGGCTCCTGCTGATGCCTGCAAAGGGTGTCAGAAAAGTGATGAAACATCCTGCTCTGTCAAAATGGAAAACAAGTCACAGAATAACACCCATTTCATGCATCATTTCAATCACCAGCATCGTATGATGCTGTACAAGTTTTAAATTCACTTGTGAACCAATGAACATCAATGATCGCATGGTTAATATGGGTAGAATTCCAGTAAATGCCAGCCAAGAAATATTATCTTAAAATACACAGCTGCATTGCCAAGCCACAGACTCTGACTCCTTAAGGGACACAGCAAGGTGGACATGTGACACACTGAGGCAATCTAAGAACATCCAAATAAAACAATCCTGGATTTACCAAGATATATTTTAATTTCCCAGCTACTCAGGGACAGGCAGGAAGGATCAGTGTCAGGTTTAGGTACAGAGGCACATGTGCAGTGCAGCTCCACTAAGATGATTAAGGGGCCACAGCATCTCTCATGTCTTGGCAGTAAAGCCAAGAGAGCTGGCCTCGTGTGCCCTAGGGGAGAGAAGGCTTGGGAGGCTCAGCAGTGAATATAAATACCTGAAGGGAAGGTGGAAATGAGAAAAATGTTTCAAGAAACTTCTTAATTATTTGAAAAGAAAAGGACTGCTTGACTTTCAGAACAGTTGAATGTATTTTCATTTTCTAAGTTCATTTTCAGCTGTAGCAATACTCTATTCTGTGCTGTCACAGCAACTAGAATGTGAAATAAATTTCATAAACCAGCTAAGGCAACACAAAAAAAAAAAAGCTCAGAGAACAACTATTCTGTTAAGCAAGTAAGCATTAATATAATTACTTCAACTTTCTTTGTGAACAGTCAAACAGTTCATCAATACATTAATAAAACTGACACATTTACTTTTTTTCTTTCCCATAGCCTGGAACACCTTCTTAGATTAAATAGCCAATATACTGACTCCTCTTCCCTAGCCATCTTTCAGTAAGTTTCTCAGAGCCTCCAGAGTGCATTTCACTTCAACAGTCTCCACTTACTTAATAAAAGACTCCATAATGCACTTGCAAACCTCCACTCTCACACTTTCCTTCTGGAACATATCCAGAAATGGCAAGAATTTCTCCTGAAAGTACAAATACATAAACAAGTACAATTAGGTGTGTTACAAAGAACACACTTATTTTGAGTAAGTTTTATAAGCACAGCAATTTAGGTAAAACTATGTTCATCTGTTTTGAAAACAGTAATTCATCTCAAAGGATGAAAAAGTGGAGCTAATGGAAAAGGACTGATGGTTGAAAGATGTATCAATTTATTGATCACAGAGATCCAGAAGGGAACACAAAATACAGAACTGTTTGAATCAAACATTGCACTTTGTTTTTAAAAGCAATCATATGCTTCAAACAGCTTAGGGTCATCAGAAATTCAGATATCTATAGGGAAAAAAGGTAAGATATTATACACAATTAAAATAGTCTACACATCATCAACAATTTCACGTCTATCCAGAGCAAGGGTCTAGGTCGTTTAACATACTAAAATACTTCATGTCTGCATCATCTCAAGAATATAGCTGAGAGTAAGTTTTTCAGAATTATCCAAGCAATTTGTGATCAAGGCTGGACCCCAAATCCACAGCATCAGTCTTGAGTTTCACTCTTTAAAAGAGTACACTCTTCTGGACTGTGACACACACTTGCTGCCTTTGTTTCTATTTTTCTACCTCATACCGAGTCTCTGACCTCCCCGAGTTCCACTTTGCTCCAATGCCAAGTGAAAATGCAATGAGAGGGCATGATAAGTATGTATCATAACACAGAAACAGCTACCAGCAATTACATTAACACACACACAAATAAATGGTATTTCATCTTCCATTCACTGTCACTTATGCCACAGTAACAAACAAACTTAGAGAATTTATCAGCCTAATGAAAAAAGTATAGAAAACTGGAAATGGAATAATAAGTACTTAAGTAGTAAGCAACAGAAAATATTTCTGCACTTAGCTACTTGACAAAAAGTCCTTGCATTCTGTGAACTTGTAAACAATCTAAATATCCCAGACAAGGCAAATTCTCTTGCAGAAAAACTGCCAAACAGTTCTTCTTAAAAATTTATTAAAGAGAATATCACTTACCACTGAAAAAAGCAGAGCAAAGTCATAAATATAGGTAATAACTTTCTGAATAATTGACTGCAGCTAAAGGGGAGAAAAAGGAAAAAATTTAAAAAGGGGAAAATTATTGTAATATGAATTAAGACTATCCACACCAGAGATTATTCTTCCTTAGTTATTCATAGAAGACTCTTTTGAAAGATGTTTCAAGCATTCACCAACGTAATTTCCTTCCCCAAAGTGGGACAAACTACATCTATGCTGTTCCTCCACACTTTTCCTACACACCCTTCAGAGCCCATATTGAACAGAGGCTGACCAGCCTGCCCAGGCTTTATTTGCTCTTCACTTCCATAGTTAAGGACATTTTTTTAGAGTCTCCATGTCCTCCAGCTCTCTGCACTAAAAATCTCAGCCAAATAAATAAAGAAAGAAAACTCAAACCAGTTTGTTAAACCCTCTTTTGTAGGCACTTTTTCTACCCTCCAAGTAACCACAAAAACCTTCTCAACTAATCCATATCTCATTTGGCATTCAGCCTCAAGAACTGGACACAATAATTCACTGAAGCCTTAACAATGCCAAGTAGAGATGGATTATTTTATGGTTTACTTCTGTTTAAACAGCCTATCATGATTGCTAATTTCTTTCAGCAAACACCACTGCTGATGTAGGAGTTAACTCTTGCTACTTCTAAATACATAAATCATTCAAGTTTAGCATTTCTCAGAATTAAAAGACTGATGTGCATGGAAAGAAAGGAGGAATAAATCACAGCATTACAGTGTTCCAAGAGGCTTCCCAATTTGAAACTAGTGTTTAAAAATAATTATTTTGTTATAAAAGTTATCAGGAATGTTTAAGAATTGATTCCACCTAAGAAAATGTACATGAGATTTTTACAGGTTTGTCAAAATAAACTCTTTACCTGTGGGTAAGCATCTTCAAATGCCCGATCAGGAGTCATGTGTTTGATAACATCAGCCAGAACTGTATTGACCTCTCGCTTCTGTGCACCAAAAAACAAGGTTACAAAATGAAATTGGCACATAAATCAAGTCACCAAACACCAGCTGAGTAGCATAATTTATTTCCATTTGCCAAAGCATCAGCTTTTTACAGAGCTCTAGTTAAGCCAGGAACTTTAACCATAGCTCCAGTAAATCCTTACTTAAACTGACCCATCTGCCATTAAAACAAAAGGATAAGAAATGTTCAGTGCTGTGGGGTAGTAAAGCTTCAAAGCTGCATCTTTTGTCCCCATTCACCTTTCATGAAAGGAAATACATTTTTTCATTCCCACACATTTATAGTGAATAGTCAAAGCCTTTCCATCTTTAATACCAGACTGCTAGCACAACCACTTAGTCTGTATCAGAAAAATTCAAAGGAAACAAAGTAATTTTCACCTACCGTAAAATGTCTGCAGGTATACTCCACCCACACTTCAGCACAGTTGATATAATCCTAGAAATACATGTGTCTCATGACTACCAACATTTGCAGGAGACTGTGACAAATACACTTGCAAAAATGACACTTGAAAGAATTAACTTCTGAGGTATGATTCATGCAGACCTAAAGATCTAGAACTCAAAAGCTGCATTTGGGTAATAATGTTATGTAAAATTAAGTTATGCTTCAGCAGAGATAAGAGAATGGGATGATCCAAAGATATTACAGCCATTACTTATTTTTTTGCAACTGTGTGTATTTAGAAAAGGTAAACAATGTCACAACTGAACAATTGGCTACAACTTTGCTCTAACACAGAGTCAGTAGTGAAACAGAATGGACAGTAACTCACCTGTGGGTTCTTCAGCTTTGTTATAACCTTCCAGGCTTCGTTTAATATTTGAAGGCGATCATTTTCAGGAGGATCAGCCAATGCCAAGTTTAATCCCAGGGAGCGAAAGAGGAGATGCTGACAGTTAATGAGAAATTTTTAATTAAAAGCAGACAATGCACATCCATCCAAGACTGGTCTGGCAGGTACAGTGTGCAGAAAGATTCTCAGATCAAACCATTTGAATAATTTTATTCAAGTGACACACAAGTTATGCAGGCAACTAAGAGCATAAAGACCTCAGTCAAAGGAAAGGAATTGGTACAAATTAGATAGAAAATGTTACCTTTGGGAATCCAGACTCATCACACTCTTTAATCATGCCAATGAAGTCCATTGATCTCGCAGCAATAAACTCTGCTCTGAACGCCGACATGACTGAATTCAGCAGCAAAGCACTGCAATGAACAACACAGATCAATGCAGCTCAACAGCAGCTCAAACTTAATAGTACCTGCATTTACATCAATCTGAACTTCCTAGACCAACAACTGGGCAGCATCTATCATAAATTTAAAAAAAGAAAGATAATAAGAAAAAAAGAACCTCACACAAATAGAGCTTGCTTTGATGAGGATTAATGATGCATAAGCAAAACAAGAAAACATTAAGCCATCAGATAAGGAAAAGTAACCCAGCCTGTAAAATACTTCTTCCACACAGGTGAAGCCATCATTTAGAAATATCAAGCAAACCAGGAGTAGCTGACATTTAGAAACTTAATCTCTGTTTAACCACAGTTCAGAAGAATACTTATGGAGGGCAAACCCCTATTGACATTTTTCTTAATTATATATGCATTATATAAGCCACATTTCTAGCAGCTGCACTATCAAGCAAACCAGGAGTAGCTGACATTTAGAAACTTACTCTCTGTTTAACTACAGTTCAGAAGAATACTTATGGAGGGCAAACCCCTATTGACATTTTTCTTAATTAATTATATATGCATTATATAACCCACATTTCTAGCAGCTGCACTGTTAGGATTAAAAGAAATCCAAAGTCATGGTCATTTGAAAACTGGCAATGGCATATTTAGACATTTCTGATTAACCACTCACACAGGTATTTGTGTTACTATCAAGCCAAAGCCACAATGGAAGAGTGAACTCACTGCATCACTGTAACATCAGTTTCCTCAGCCATCAGTTAGCTCAAGAAGCTGCCTCATAAAACACTGTGCCCTTCACTAGTCTGAAACAGACAGTTTGAATACAGGGCAGTTTGCCTTGAGGGAAATTCTGTGAAGTGCTTAAAATAACCCAGCAGCTTCTGTGTTTCTGCCTGAGCCTTAGTGGTCCCATCCCAATTTGACTGAAATTTGCATTTTTTTCATTAGACAAGCACTTCCAGATCATTAGGTCTGTGCTTTGCAATACAGAGAGAAGACTGTCCCTTTTCCCTTAGATGGCTGCAAAGTAGCTCTCGGAACATATTGAGATTATTTCAAGATTTATATACTGATGCCTCTTGCTTTGTAGTATCTTGCCAGTCATGAGAAGACACAAATACACAGAACTCCACTTTGAAAGAAGACTACTGTTTTAAAATGGATTACTCAACTTCCCAATAAAAAAGACATGTCCCAAAAACATATCTTTCAAAAAGAAACCTAATTATACTCAACACTTCATCCTTCCTTCAAACAGGAAACAGGAACAAAGAGGAGGAGCCCATTCAGTGAAAAATGTTGAAAGTTGATTTGAAAATAAGTTCCACAAATCAATACCTCTCCAAAACAATTTGTACATCAGAGAACGTGAATTATTTTTGTCTATTCTATACCCTCTGATACAATATCACTTTCACAGCACATTTTTTAAATCATGCTTTCCCTGCACTCCTTAGCTCAGTCACAGAATGCTGGCATTCCTCAGCTAAGTGATAAACATGTTTTAGTTCCTCAGCTGCTGCAGAACTGGACTGTGCAAAGCACATTAAAAAAATAGCTAAAAACTTTCAGAGAACTCAGCCCAGCTACCCAATAAAATGCACAGAGAGGAGCCCATCAGCAGGCCATACTGCCTTCACAAAACCCAGTCAGTACATCCACCTTTCAGACCAGACCATCTTCCTCAACACGATTACCCTGGACAAAGACTTCTAGGAGACATTTGCGATACTCATTTTAATGCTGAAAAAAGCAAATCCCTAAGTATTACCACCTTACAAAGGTTGCCAGCAGCTTTACAACTTCCCTTGCTGAATGCATGCATGGCCTGACTGTAGCCAGTGGAAGACAGGGGGAAAAAAGGGGAGGAAAACCCAGAAAAGAAGAAGCAAAACCAGGCATCAGAGACATGGCTAAGGGAGAACACATTAGATGTCCTAGACTTTGGCTTAGGAACCAGAATGCAGCAACCAAGTTAAGCTAATTAACTTTAGCTTGACAAGTAATCTACCATATTTTAGAATTCATATCTCAAAAACAGATGTTCATAATCATGATTTAGTAAGCTACTGGGAGAATGAAAGCTGCACTGTGCATCCAAACTGCTTCCAAAAGAGGAAGAGAGAACATCATTGCAGGGACTCAGGGGTACTCATTACAGACTCCTGTCTTCTACACTCTGCAACACTTACTTGTTCCCCAACTTTTTGCATCTCTCCATCATCTCAGTAAGCAGAACCTGGAACAATTATTTATTAAAATTAGTGAATTGAGACTTTGCAAATATATTCAGCTTTATTTACTGTACTGAAATATACTAAAAGCTTTTTAATCACCTTTCCAATACATTCCCATAGTCCTGTTTTACCCTGTATTTACAGCACAAGAAAACAATGGTGTAGCTAAACATAAAACACATCTTCTGGAACAGGCATTTCAATCAAAACCACCATTTTATGGAAGTCAAATCTGCAATCCTTTATCCATGCCATTACTCCAGGTAATCACTACTTGCCAGCCAGGTCAGCTATCTCTGGCAGGAGAGGTGAAAACTCTGCCAGACTGACAGAGATTAAAACAGCCTGTTCACTACGTTAAGCTACAGTTTAGTCAAATCATTTGTGTACCTGTATGACAGAAGAAAAGGATGAATTCAGCAAATAAAGATTAAAGGACAGCAAGAAACAAACAGGAATACTGCCTATGTACTTGAAGTGGTCACACTTGAGCTTTGTGGAAACAAACATTCTTCCTGTACAGAAGAGAGCATCAGACAGTCCTATGTAGGCTCTTTTTACTTGCCTTCACACTCATGTAAAAATTGACTGAGGGGTTGTTTTTTAGTAACTCTTTTAAATTAACTCTTCACCACAACTTCAGCATTGAGCATTACCAGGTTCACTTACATCTGGAGCATGGTATGCAATGCACTGTAAAATCCAGTCTATAGCAGGAGAATATAGGGTCAAATACAGAGGGATCTCCACACATTGCACCACCAGCTGGTTCTGAACTGTATCCCCATGGATCTGTTGAAATAAGAGACAAAAATAAGTTGCTGTGAAAAGGTATATAATGGGAGATATGATAAACTGGTTAAAGTTTGTATATGAATGCAAATTAGACATGCAAGCTGGGGGAAAAAATATCAAGCTCCTAACATATATTATTCAAGTCTGGAAACATGCTGAATAGAGCAGTTTCATACCAGAATATATATAAAATTTCCCATACTATATCTGGATATAGGAACACCCCTAAATCTAGATTTGAGAACTTGCAAGATCTTTAATTTTAAAGTATGTAGCTTGTAGCATGTAGTTTGACTAAGGAGTGCATTTATCTGATTTTGCAAATAAAACACTTATTTCCTTACTTGTTTAAATGTGAGGAGAAAGTCAAAAAAGTTTTTATTCAGGCTTTCTTTGAGTTGTGGTGCCACTTCCATCCCAACCTGTATTAAAAGAAAAAGATTATATTGGCATCTATCAATTCTCCTTCAGAGATAAAAATGCATTTGCTGAAGGAATACACCCAAGTCACACACATCAAATCAACAAACAGCATTGAATCACATGCTTTTGACTGATTATTTCCTTGCTTACTATCACAGTCATGTCCACTAACAACCACCCTGAGGCAGTTACAGCTGTTCTTAAACTCGATCCCAACATCAGCTCCAAGCATCTGTAAGCACTGAGGAAATCAGTGTCTACTCCAGTGCACTGCAGCAGCCTACAGCAGCACAGAAAATTATTCTTACTTATTACAAACACTTAAAGAGAGATTCCCCATTTGTAAAACAGAAGAGAAATCTTTTTTTGTTGTTGTTTGTTGAAAGAGATAGGCTGCTGACTGCTTGAGATAAAAGTGGTGGTTCCTTGAAGCAGTGGCAGCACAGCTGCAGTAAATCTTTGGTACAGATCAGAGGAGGTAAATGACAGCCTACCCTGCAAAGGTATGCTCTGGCATAGACTGCAACCAGTGGATCTCCAATTCCTCTAATCATAGCTGTTAACCGTGGGAGACATTCCGAAATGCCCCTGTTTTCATCAGAAATGAAAATGAGCTTCACCAGTCAATAACAGAATTCTATCCCCTACAGAGAACTTCAGTAGCTGCCTTGTAGACTAACAATTGAGCATGAGTTACAGAAATATCTAACAAAGAAAAAGGATACTAGCACAAAAACTTATTTCATAAGTAAAATTTCTGTGTACAGTAATACATATGCTATATTCAAACTGCAGTATTTGCTATTCACAAGACAAATAAAACTAAAGAACTCCTCCTCCAGCTTCAAGAACAGGAGAGCTATGGAAAAGCTGTAACTCGGTGCAAGGAAAGCAGATGCTTAAAGCAGAACTGGCAGAACTCCTTCCATGTCTCATTTGCCCACAGGTCCTTTTTGACAGAGCCTGGATATGAGGCCCACTAATTCCAGTAAAAGAACTGCTTTTTAGGGATAATAAAGTTGTCACTATAGTACCAATTTGGCTTCCAACATCATTTAAAAATATAACTGAAGAAGGACAATTACAAGGGAAGGAACATTTTCTGCTGAGCAGCTGGCACTGCTTGGCAAAACATTAAACTTATACCAAAGTTTTCAACAGACAGTGGTTCATTGCTCCTAAATTATTTCTCCTGTTCTGTCTCTCCCAGTATGATATCAATAGTTTCCTTTCAGTTTTCTATCCTGTCTTTTCCCCACACTCCTCATGTCAACAACCTTCCTTCCCCTCCATCCCCAGAAGTCACTGCTTCAATTTGCATTCAACAGACAGTGGTTCATTGCTCCTAAATTATTTCTCCTGTTCTGTCTCTCCCAGTATGATATCAATAGTTTCCTTTCAATTTTCTATCCTGTCTTTTCTCCACACTCCTCATGTCCTTCCCCTTCATCCCCAGAAGTCACTGCTTCAATTTGCTCTGGGATTTGGGACACTGATGTCACATTTGTACATGTGTTTGAGAGCACTGCTGTATTTCAAAGTATATCACAGTCCACCTTTAATTTTTTCATGGCATTCCCATTAAAAATTCCAAAACCTCTCTTTACTGCTTCTTCTCAGTTCTACTAAGACCCTATCCACCATTAATCACAGACCTCTTGTGCTTAATTCTTTTAATTAGTTCCTAAGTTTGCCCATTCACTTCCTTCCCACACTGAACATTATTCTTACGTTTTGGACAGGAACTTATTGCACTTGAGTATTGCTGCTTCCACGTAACTACATTGAAGCCAAGTTAAGGAACAAAACTAAGATTCACACCACTGAAAAACCATAAGCAAACACACACCAAATGGATATTGACCAAACTATTTTAAGGCCTTCTGTAATTAATGTCACTACACTTTGCTGATTTTTACAATTTATCTACAGGATTTTGTTTCAAAATTTTTCATACATCATCTCTGTCACTGCCAAACTGCTCAGAACCAATAATTAGGCATCCAGTTTACTATGAAACATGACTCAAAAGTACATTCAAAACATACAGCCTGAAACAAACAAAACAAAGCCAGTATAAACATCAGATCCTGTGGGTTTTATTGAAACAAACACATTCACTTTTGGGAAAATCTACAAAAAACCTGCAGACACACTGTGAGGTTCTCATTTGACAAGGATACAATCTGGGAATGAGTTCTCTTATTGAAGCAATCTTGAAAAACCAGTTTAAGCAAGTTTCTTTAGCTGTATCGTTAACACTCTCTGGAGAAAAGTTATCTGGGAAAAAAAAAACCAACCCAGAAATAGTTACATTCTTTCTGGAAACCAGTTACTTTTCATGTTAGGTTTAAACTGTATTCTCTTTCCATTCATCAAGAAATTAGGTGCACAACAACAAACTAGGCAATACATTTGCTTCTCAGCTGTCTTGAAGAGCAGTCAGACCTGAGAACATAACAAGAAAAGGTAACAATCTTGTAGTAAATAACATTTCAGAACCTGAATTCAGGCACTTGGAGCTCATCTCCGAGCTGCTACTGACAAATCCAACTTCTGTCTCTGCTCTTCCAAAATCAGAAATTGTAAAAAAAAGAAAATACAGAGAATCTGTAACAAACACATGTATACAAATCTGTAATGACTAGAGAGCATACAAAAGAGATTTAAGCACCCAAGTAGTTGATTTTAAAAGGCTAAAATAAATTTTAAATAATACTATTGCAAGTAGGAAATACTGAATATGGACAGAAACTTTGTTTCTGTACCCTGAACACTGAACACATCCTCTTACAAACTCCTTCTGAATGTACTTTTGCACGAATACTGTGAACAGTGGAAGCTGCAAGCGATGGATTTTACTCTGTTAAAAACTAAGAGCTACTAGAGTCAAATCAGAACCTTTTCTATAGGAGATAGAGTAGCAATGGTCCTCTATTTAACCTTCCTCAAGGTTGGACATGATTTTTTTCTGAAGCACAGTGGAAACAAACACAAAGTTACCTGGCAGAGAGACTCTGTTATCCACACACATTGACAGAATTCTTTCATACACCAGTTTGCCTGGTTAAAAAAAAAAAAAAAAAGAATAATACAAAACCCAAAACAAATTAACAAACTGTAAAACACAAAATGCTGGTCAAAGGTTCCCTTCACAACATACAATGAAATCAGATGGAAAAAGCTTCCCAGAACACTGACATTTTGCTGCCCTCTAGTGAGGCTGAAATGTTCAGTGTGATTTAGCCCTTCTCACTACAAAAACAATCTCTGGCTCCCTGAAGTGCAGAGGTAACACACAGGTCAGATTCCTCCCAGGCCAGGAAAGGACAGCTGCTGTCCCGACTTTGCTGAGTGTGGACATTGTGTTATCTCTAGCAGCCCTCAGCAAGGAGGAAGGAGCACAAAGAGGAAGCACGACCTGAAAGAACAATTGGATCTCTGTCGTAGCATATCCTGCTGGCACCAAAATACACTCCAACTTTCAAAACCACTGTAAATATTTTTCATAACATGGCAGAAAAATTAGAGAACAACATGAAGTGGATGACAAGTTCACTTACAAATTAAAAAATATATTTAAAAAAATCAATAACTACATTCTGATCATTTCACAGTCCCTATTCAGCCAAAGAAAACTTTGACTTCTATTCTTCAAAATACAAAAATAATGAAATATTGAGACAAAAGGGTGTTAAAATCCAAAATATTTTTATAATGACAGCATGTTTTTAATTTCAAAATGCAGAGATCATGACTTTTCCTAACATTTTGTTCTAGATATTCACTAATACATAAAACACAGAAGCACAAAATGAAATATTTTTCTCTTAAGGACTTTGCTCTTAGGAGACTTTTTAGTTATATACCATGTTTACCACCAGGGTCCAAATGTTTATGCTGGAAATATTCCATGTTACAACTAAAAGTCATTTCGGGCTTTTTTTGATAACTTTGATACTTTGTAACATTACAAAAAATAATCTTATTAACATTTGTGTAGTAAGACTGGCACAGTAGCTACTTACCAAAAGTATCAAGGATATCTGTAATTAAAACAAATTTGCTTGGATAAAACTGGATTACTGTTGTGTCTGAAAGCAGCTTAGAACACTAGAAGGAGAAAAAAAACAAAGAAACATTTTTAGAGGCCAACACAAGTCTGTGTTTTTACTCCAGAAAAGCTGGAATGGATGAATATCCACAGGTGGAAAGGACCAACATGAACTATGAAGCCAAAGGCACAAGGACAACAAACATAACAGACCATGGTGCTTGTTGTAATTTTCAGGTTACTTTTAATTTCCAGAGCTACACAGACCTGGTTTTCCTTTTACAGGGTAATCTACAATGCAGAGTTTCAGCTGACCATGAAGATCTGTGCTTTTGTTCAGACAAGACAAATTCTTGATAAAGCATTAAAAAGCACTTCTCTAAAATCACTTTTTTTAAGGACACTGCTCACTTTTTTACCATCTCTCTAAGCATCCATATCAAACAAAAATGTAATATAGATTACATTAAGAAACAATTTCAGAAGTGTAGCTAATGAGCTTTGTAGTTAGAGCTTTCCAATGCATTTCTGCAGCTCACATAACTAGTTCAAACATTCTGGAGGCAGACTGAGCCACAGTCAGCTCCAGGGAGGACTCTAATCAATCACCACCCACTGGGACACAACCTGATCATGGCATCTGGACTGCAGTGATGGCTGGAACCAAGTCACATTTAAAAATGTATTACCCACTTAGTTCTACTCTCTTTGGGTGTTCAGGCCAGGAAGGACCATATCCATTGATTGTATGAATCTAAAATACACACTCAGCAATGAAGACATTTCTAACATACTTAATTAAGCTATACTTTCTTGTCCTAGATTAAACTGGAGTCAAAAACTTCGGCAGGTTACTCACAAAAAAAAAAAAAAAAAGACCACACCAAAAAACTCAACAAAAAAACAGCCTCTACCAAAAGAAAACAGGTGAATGACTGACTGGGGAGAGAAATCCACTTCTTCCTTGCTTAAGCCAAATGTGCTCTCTGGCCCTGAGTCTTCTCTGGTCTCTGAGACTGACAATATTTTCTATGAGCTCCATCCTTTCTCTCTCCTTTATTAGGAGACAGTTCTTCAATCTCAGTGGAATAAATAAAGTTTAAATTTTTGTCACATTTTAAAAATCCAGGAAGGAATCCAATATCTCACAAGACTGCTCTGTTTAAAGAAGGAAATCACAACATTTGAACATGCATAAACAAGGGGCACACTCAGTCTTTCTGCTTTATTCTTCAGGGTAACTTGAAGAGAGCACCAGAAAGACAGGTGACAACATTTACATGCTAGAACCAAAGTAGAATCTTGCCTGCTGTGTGGTCAGTCACCTTCAAAGCAAGGTAACTCAGTAGCTGTTTAGGACCCACACACAGCACAAACACTTGAGTACCACTTTTCTTAGAGCTCACACACATAATCACATTAGTTCAGCTTACTCTAAGCAGCTTAGCATACTCCATCTTGACAAGAAAAGTATCTTGCAAAAAGCCACTTGAGGAATCACAGAATCATAGAATTGCTTAGGTTGGAAAAGACCTTCAAGAATGTCGAGTCCAGCCTTTAAACCATGACTGCCAAGATCATCAATAGAAAATATCCCCAAGTGCCACACCTACACATCCTTTAAATGCCTCCAAGGAGGGTGATGCCACCACTGCCCTGGGCAGACTGGTCCAGTGATTGAGAACCCTTTTGGTGAAGAAATTTCCTAACCAGAAGCCAAACTCCTACTGCACACTAACCAGTCTGGAATAATAATGACAGACTATGTGCATAACCACAGCCTGATGCCAAGAGAACTGCTCAGCTCTCTCAGAGGATACAGCACTCTGCAGGAAGAAGCTCAACCAGTAAAGTTCAGTGAGGGTTCTACTCTATCCTGCTTTATTTTATCCTTCATGAAAATTTTAAATTCATTAATTACACAAGTACCTATTTCATTCTTAGGCAGTCTTTCAATTAGTGATGAGCATCTGCAGCATTAAGTGCTAAGTGAACAACACTTTAGCAGAGATAAACACATTCAGCTTTGGTACCACTTTCCTAAAAGGAAGCATTGGATCCCCCATCAGAAACTGTATTATTTCAAAAATTTTTGTGAACCAGTTGCAAAAGAACGTATGGAAGTATCAATGATCATCACTGCATTATCACACACACACATATATATATATTATATATTTCACACAAAGCACTCTAACTACAATACATCCCTGCTGCTTTTCTTCTCATCCAAAGACCATAGTCACACTTCACAATCCTATATATGGATTTTTTTTAAATAGCAATAACAGTGCTGATTTCATAGTATTACAATAGTACATTAGTCACCCTAGGTCACATATAATTGTTTGATCTCACTTCATTAATGTTTCATTTCCTTTTTTGTCTTTACCACAATTTAAGATGAAATTACTTCAAGCAGTTTTCACAAGAGTATCCAGAATGACAAAAAAAATCCTGACTTTATATAACCCCACTGGATGACTATGAGCATTACATCAGTTTTACAGCTTTTAAGGATGTCATTATCTCATCTGTCCTCTGCTGCACTCTGCCTCTGGCCTTTTTTAAAGGCCAAGCCAAACAAAAGAGCATTTAACTGTCCTATTTCCCCATGCCCTCCTCAAAGCACATCGCCCCAAATGACCCAAAGGAAGACCATGGACAAGTTCTCAACAAATAAACAAAAACAAACCCCATACACACAATTTTAAAAATCTGGAGCTGTTTTTGGTAGCTTGCTAAGGTCCTAAATCCCTTTATTTAATCACCCTAATACATTTGGATGGGTAAAATGCTGATGTTCAAAAAGCCATTCTGCTATTATTTGTAGGGAGCAAGGGGCTGAAGCAGAAGAGGACAGGAAAGGAAATTACATGTCCTATAAAGAGCTGATAATCACTACATGCTATTTGTTCTAACTACCCTTAAGCAGGTAAAATTTCCACATCTGTCATTTGGTGACTCACTGAGAATTCCAACCCACATAACCTAGTCAAAACCAATATGTAACAACAAAGCTGAAAATCCAACTACTGTCAGAAGTCATAAAACTCTGGAAGAAATCTGTCTCAGAGAAGAACAAAAGAAAGTAATAGAAAAACAGTAGAAAGCCTTCTTTTCCCAAGAAGGAAACTGGACAAGTTGTAGCACCAAACTCACTGGTTCTGCATAAAACAAAACCATAAAACTGACCTGGATGACTATTTTCAGAGCTTTTACTTTCTGATCAGATGACCATGCATCCTTTAAAGACTGGTTCAGCTCTTCAATTCTGTTCATGTAATCCTGCTGAGTCAAATTCAACAGCTCTTTCTGTGATCCCTGGCAAGAAAACAAAAACCTTCTTAAGAAGAGCAGGAGGGAAGGAAGGAAAGTGCTGTTATTATAGACTCAAATCACCATGTTGTGGAGGAGAATCCTACAAAATTTATTACAATTTCCCTTCAGGTCTTAGGAAAGTAGGTTATAAAACATCTCACCATTGCACAGTAAAATACTGCAGCTTGAGAAATAACTTCCATACTCAGTATCTCTAGCAAGCTCATAATTGTAATTTAAATTAAACTCAGGTAGACATTTGCAGCTTTGGCAACAGGGGCAACCAGAATTATCAGATGTTAAGACTAAGGGGCTCCATAAAGTTTTACAGCAGTAAGAAGGTAAATAAACAGCAACAGATCAGGTAAATTTTCAAATCACAGTTTCTAGTGATACAAAAACATGACTCTGCCCAAATCCTGTAACAATAAGCATTAATTACTGGACAATTCCCACAGAAAGTACATATTTATCTAAATACTGCACTTGCAGAATCAGGACCTTTTTAAAAGGTTTCACACAAGATTTTTATTTCACAAATTTCTTTCACTGTTATAATGATGCTGTAATTTCATCAGAAAACTTTCTCACCTCTTCCAGATCATCCAATTCCTCTAACCTCGTCCTCACTTTTTCAGAAACTGCTGAACCAGTAGTTGTGGCTTTTCCTGCAAAGAATCACAGATTTAAGTTTCTTTAACATTTAAACACTGGGACTTCTAAAGAGAAACAAACCAGAAGGAGCCTGACATGGACCAGTCAGCTTCTGTGACAGAAGACAGGTGGTTTGATTCCTTCAGTGACTATTCCTGAACACACACATCTAAACACATCTACAGTGCATCCACTTTGAACAGGGGCAATGAGTAAGCAGAATTGAATATGAGTGGATTTTTCTGCAATTTTTACCAGTAAGAAAAGAATCACCACATAGAACCATAGGATAATTAAGGATAGAAAAGCTCTATGGAGGTCTGTGTCCAACTCTCCTCCTCAAAGCAGGTCCAGTTCTGAAGTTCTAACAGTTGCACAGGGTTATATCCAGTCAATTTAACAATATCTAAGGATATAGAGGTCACGCTCTGCCTGAACATCCAATTTCAGTGTTTGACCATTCTCATTGCAAAAAAGTGCTTTCTGTTTTTGCAGATGCTGAAATGCTGCATGTTTATTCATACAGAAAAATCCTGATTTACTATGCTATGATTACCTAGCCCAGATTCTCTTTGCTAGAAAACATGATAAAATATTTAACATTTGGTTCTTTTTTAAACACCCAGCATACAGCTGAAATCACTTCACTTTCATGTAAAGAGAATAACTGAACAAGTTCCCAAAGGACTTGTTTGCTTTCCTTCCAGCTAGCAGAAGAGTTGATAAACATGATCCTCAAAACACCATTGCTCAGTTTAAATGAAAGAAAGTTTTAAGCTACAGTGGAAGGCTGTGCAGTGAAATAATCACAAATTATCAGCCCATAGGAATAAAAGACAAGGTGGTCAGGTGGCTTATTTTCAATAACTATTTTAAACAAACATCCAGACTTCTTATCCACAAAAAAGCAAGAACCATGGAGGCAAAATGGAAAATACATTTCAACTATTCTTGACCACAAACTTGTCTCTGCACCCTGCCTCAAGCAACCTCTGTCACTGGTAAAGAAAGTGCTCACCTTTTTCAGATCCCATGTACAGATTCTGTGAGGAAGCAGAAAAAGCAGACTGTTAGAAAACATGGACTCACTAGCATTCCAAGAATGCACAGGGTAATTACACTGCTAATCAACCCTCTAATCATTTAGAAGTAGATGCAAGACTAGAAGTTATTTGCATTGTTACAAAAAGACAAAGGGATGGCTTCTAAATGTCAGAAGACTTGGATTCAGTTCTAAAATAATCTTTGCAAGTGAGAGCTTGTGATTCAGTCTTCTACAACATTAAAACTGAAATTTAGAAGACCAGTATTTACCCATGAAAGAATTATAAAATAGCAATATCCAAAATCCATTAAAGGTCTAGTACACATCAAAACAACTGTGGCAGCCACCACTTACAATAGATAGCTTCTCTGTTGTTGTGTATCTAGCAAGGATTTCACCACGTTTGCTTGACCATGGCTCAAAGTCACTTCCCACTGCTGAGCTCTCATCCTTATCCCGTTTCCTTCGTGCACCATCCTGTTACAAGAGTACAAGTGCAAAAGTTAAATACAGATCTGAAAAAAGAAGAGAAGGCTGTCAACATAAAGGTCAACAATGTTTCAAGTGCTAGCTGATCCTTTCAAAAGTTACAATATCAAACAAAATTCTATATTTAAATAAATATGTCAACATAAACCAGATAAAGTAGGTAAATAAAAAAGTAGGTATATTTCCTATATTAACCTCTTCACTGGTGAGACAATACATTTTATCCAGGGTTGGCTTTATGGTTTTGTTTTGGTTTTGGCTTTCCTTTACTTAGCTGCCCTGGCAGCCCTCAGAGTTACCGATGTCAACATAAACCAGATAAAAGTAGGTAAATAAAAAAGTAGGTATATTTCCTATATTAACCTCTTCACTGGTGAGACAATACATTTTATCCAGGGTTGGCTTTATGGTTTTGTTTTGGTTTTGGCTTTCTTTTACTTAGCTGCCCTAGCAGCCTCAGAGTTACCATGGGAGGAGCAGTAGTCACAGGATCTGCAGCTGCTGCAAACAAGGACAAGGGGTCAGTGCCATCCAACACACTGCTCAGCGGGTCCATCACTGAACTGGAGGAAGAGGAGGAGGTAGAGGAAGTACTTCCCTTCCTGTTCATCTTCTTCGTCTTGGATTCAGTAACCTAAAGAAAAATTCAGAACTATTAAACAAAAGGGCTTTCTCTTCCCTCACTTTTCTCTAATTCTTTTTCTTTCCCCCTTTTCCCTGAATGTGGGGGCACTCTTCAGTAGAATTTCCACTGCTATTTTTTTTTTCCTTCCAATTCTAGGTCTACAAAGTTGTAAGAACAACCACTCTGAATATCTTTCTAGTACCCATCCTCTATTTTATTAGGTTTGTCCCTGTCCTAACTCTTTCTTGCTATTTAATTTCCCCTGCCAGTTTCATCTTTACTTTTCCTGTACAACACTCAAGCCTGGAACATAAAATCCATACCTCAGGCCAGCATCTTCTCTCCCTACTGACCTTCCTGAGCAGAAGCTGCTGCCCATTTATCATTCATTAGTGGATAACTCATCTCTTTGAAGCTGATTTTTTTCCGTACATCTTTAAAAGCCTCTTACACATCAAAGAAATTATAAATGTTTTAAAGTACACAGCTGACTGGAAGCTAACCCAAAACCAAACCTTACATCAAGCAATTATGCAGGCCATTTGTAATGCAACAATTGGATTTTAAATTTATCCATTACTCAGCATTTAATGCAACCAAGAAAACCTACAAGCTGGAGGTGCTGTATTTGTCAAGAGATGTTTCTGACACATAACAGCACCAGCAAACTTCTGTGAAGGGCAAACAGAATAAACCTGGATGCCTCTAAAACAGGCCACTAACACAGAAAGCAACTTCACAAGGATCACTAGCCTCAAAGCCTTTTAATATTAATGGAACAGATGCAAAAAGAGGAACACAATCAGTCTGAATTCAGATTCATTTTCCAAAAGCACAAACAAACTCACTGTAATAGGTTTCAGTGGATGGTAATCACCAAAATCCAAGGGTACAGATTCCAGCTTGCACACTTCAGATTCTGACACATAGTTCCTTGATCTTGCATGCCTTGAAAAGAGTGAAGGGAAAGTATATATACATATAAATAACCACATACCAAGAGAGAAGCATATCTTATATGCTATCAGATGCTTATTTACAAAAAACAAAAAACATATGGAAAAATAAACAAACATAGGGATCCAAATTTCTCTCTACTGAGATAACATAAAACTAAAACTGGAGAAATTTTACTTTCTGCCATTTCAGTTGCACTCTTTTTTAGTCTTTGAAATACACAGAGCTGCTAATTTCTTATATCTATACAGATGCTTATTTACAAAAAACAAAAAACATATGGAAAAATAAACAAACATAGGGATCCAAATTTCTCTCTACTGAGATAACATAAAACTAAAACTGGAGAAATTTTACTTTCAGCCATTTAGTTGTAGTCTTTTTTAGTCTTTGAAATATACAGAGCTGCTATTTTCTGTTTCATTCAAAATCCTGAGAATGTTTACAGCACACCCTACTGCCTCAGCTGAATAAGGAAAATCAGGGGATACACAAAAAATTCTTTAATCACACAACTAACAAAATCAAACAGCACTTCCCCTACATAACACACACCTTTCCCACTAGAATTAATCTAAACTTCCAAATAATTCCATTCCTACTCAAAGACATAACTATGATTTTCAGCAGTGCTAAGCAGCTCTTCTACAGATATCAGATTAGAATTACAAATTTGACAATTTATGGTTGTGCCACTCTGAGGAGAAACTTTTGACATCTAATGATATAGAGCAGAGCAAGAGAAAGAGTCCAGTAAAAACCACATGCTTCTTCGTTTTCTTGATCTCCAGATCCTTTTCGTTTTGCTAATGTCCCATTGTTCACTGACTCTTGCTCATTTGCATCATGGGTTAATCAGCATCTGGGTGGAAAATCTTCCAAACTCTTTCTGGCTACACAATTATAACATTTCTTTAACTGCTGAGAGCTCTCTCAGCATCCCCAGGCTGAAATCAGCTGCATTCCAATTAGTGTGAGCACACTGGGCAAGTGCACATGGTACTAACACACATGTGGGAGTGAACAAGAGCTGCAAACCCTGCAAATAAGTCTTTAAAAAGTACATTTTTTATAATGTGGCTACTCAAGTGATAAAACAGCTTGTAACAGAGCTAATACTGAAGACAAGATCAAGTTTGCTCTGGCATTATGTTGTGCTTACTTTCCAGGGAAAGGAGATTAAGCATTCCTTTCTTGGTCACAGCAGGGCAGCCAACTTTTGAGAGGAAATAAAAATAAGACTCTGGCCAAGCTGGGGTTTCATCCTCTGTGCACCCTGCAGGATTACACCCCTGCTTCAGCTGCTCTTTTAACAGCAGGTTTCAACCTTTCCCACACAAGAGCACCACTGCAATTGCCACCACTCTGCCCCTTCAACACCTGCCAGCCCACAAACCTTTTTCTCTCCTCCTGGTAAAACACCTTTTTCCCTGGGACTGCTTTCAGGCACACAGCCCCCTCCCAGAGCCAGTGCTTATCCTAAAGCAGGTGCTTCAAAAAGCTCACAGGGAGCACAAAGGAATCAGGCACATAAAACTGAAGAGAATCCCTTTACAACACTAGACATATATTGGTAATACAATGAAGCACATCCCAAACCAACTGTACCTATCACTATCTGAGTATCAGACATAAAAACAAAACAATTTCTCTAGATATTTATGCATTGCTATTATAAAATTGCATTGTAGCCCTGTACTTTAAATTACTTTATATACTTTTTACTACTTTTAACAAATTTGTTGAAATCTTAAAAATTTGCTTAATTTTATATTAATACAACTATCCAGCACCAACAGGTGCTATTTTTTTCCTCACGCAAATCTGCAAAACAGCTTTTTAGTATTAATACTGCTTAAAAGTAGCCATGGTTCTGCTAAGCCCCACAGCATGAAAATATCTTCTGTATTAGATAACAGCATGATGGAAACATCTTACTCTGGTAAAGGTCTGGTTATTTCCCCATGGCCACTACCAGTGTTACTAGACCTATTTATTAGGCTGTTACCTCATTGCTGTACTATGTAAAAATCAATTTTTCAGGGTCTCTGCTGCTCTGCTTTGTTCTGCTCTATTTTGCTAGTGGTTTTGTCTGTAACAGAAAGAGTGCCTCTTTTATCCTTCCTCTACCAAAGGCTAGACTAATTCCCTGTCGTGCGCAGTGCAGCTCCCACAGATGTACAATTCTGTAAACGCGCGTTGCTAGAGGCTGACTGTGTGTGTGTAGCCCTGTCTGCAGAGCCTGCGGCGGACAGCAGCGGCTAAACGCGCTGGGATGGGCGCACACAGCAGAGCCCCGGCTCGGGCAGCGGGCCCGCACCGACCCGCCCGGAGCTGCGGCTCCGTCCCTCAGCAGGGCTGCGCCCGCCCGGCTCCGTCCCTCAGCAGGGCTGCGCCCGCCCGGCTCCGTCCCTCAGCAGGGCTGCGCCCGCCCGGCTCCGTGCAGCGCCAGGCTGCCGTGAACGCGATCCGTGCGCTCGGCTGCCTCAGGCCCCCCGGCAGCGGAGCCGCGGCACGCAGCGCCCGCCGGTTCCCCCCGGCCGAACCGCCCCGAGCCCCGCGGGCGGACAGGCCCGCGCCCAGCCCCGCGCCCGCCCCGCCCGGGCACAGGCGGCTCCGGCCCCGCCGCCTCACCAGGGGAACGCGGCCATCTTGCGCCCGCTCACATGACAGCGCGCGCCGCCGCAGCTTCCGGCCCGAGCCCCGCCCCGGCCGAGCGCGGGAAGCGCCTGAGGGCGGGTGAAGGAACAGCACGGAAAGGGCGTTTAATGTTCAAAATTCAGAGTTTATTGTGCAGAATGCGCTAAGTAAAAAGCGAGACTGGTGAAAATGAAACAAAGTACAAAAATAAATAGACTTCTGTAATGGTATCACAATTCCACACAAAATAAAAAGATAAATATGTATAAATACAAAACAGCAAGAAGTACAAAACCAAATTCTGGCACTTGCCAAGAGAAAGGCCTCATGAAAGTCAAAAAAAAAAAAAAGCAAAAAAGACCCTTGTGCTATAATGCTTTATTACACACTGGAAACATGCTTGAAGAACAAGAGGTTTAGATGTGAAACCCTAAGAGAAGGGAAACATTCATTTCTACTAACACACTAAACCTATCTGTGCATCAACATATTGCCTATGCTAATGATAAATACAGCACATAAAACATCCATTAAAAGCATCAATCTTTAGTGCTGCCATATCAACAGCACCTTCTGTCATCTGTGACACAGGTCACCCTTGTCACTGTAAATTCCTCCCCTGTTGAGATGTTTTCCACTCCTAAGGAGAGCTGGGAATTAAAACACAGCTTTGTTGCCCACCGGCTGAGCAGGAAACTTGCCTCGGGCATTTTCCATACTACAGCTGTGATTTTAAAGCACCAGAGCATTTGTATGAAGGAGGCAGCTCTTCCACCGGTGTAAACTCTTCTGTTTACAGCATCAGGGGAGCCCCCGGCCCCAGGCTCTCAAACAAACGAGCAGTGTCATTCTCCAAGGTGCTGGGGCAGTGTTTCTGCCATTTTCCAAGCATGCAGTTTGGTAACTTAGTGGCTGGTATAACACAGCTGTTCTGAACAGCATCGTGAGTGCAGATGAAAGCCACAGGCTGGTGCCAATCCACTCATCACTGCCCATGAAATAACTGTCCTCATCCCATTATTAATGTTCCTCTTTCATGCTATTTCCACAGTGAAATTCTCAGTTGGTCTTTCTTCTCTTACATTCATGTCAACACATGTCAACACATTTGCTAGTGGTTTTGTCTGTAACAGAAAGAGTGCCTCTTTTATCCTTCCTCTACCAAACGCTAGACTAATTCCCTGTCATGCGCAGTGCAAACCTTCCAAAGTTTAGTTACAAACCTTCCAAAGTTTAGTGTGTTGTATTGTATTGACACTGGGAAAGTAACAAAATATAACCTAATTTACATTCTGGCAGTCAGTTCTCTACTGCAAAGATTATACAGCTGAGCTTTTCTCTCTAGAACTTTCTTAATATCATGTCTCAAGTTCATTAAAAGAAGGTGGAGAATGATGCTGCCCTCAAGTTGATGGATAATATCCATCAGTTGGAAGACAAAGGTAGAATATGACCATTTAATGTTAGATATTCAAAAATGTGAAAGTGTTGGGATTGGTAGGGATTCCCCACCTGCAGAAATCATGACTTCAGTACAAAGGGCCTGTTAGATCACACAGCAGAAGATAAATGCTCAGAAAAACTGCCACTGTCATCAATTAAATGTAACATATCTGAATTACTATTACAGACTAAAATAACTATTTAAGTCTGCAATGGTAATACAGTTAAAATTGTACCTTCTGAAGCTTTTGTAAAACATACACATCTCCATGTTGGACAGATGTTTCCATAAGAAAATGCAGTAGACAGCAGGGCAATAAAAACCCGAGGCTCTTTCAGTACAGTGGTTTCATCTGCCACACATAAATGCTCATTTTTGGTTTGGTCAGTGAAAGTTTGTTCATCAGCCCAACAGTGAATTTGGACCACATCTGCCCAGCTCAGCAGAAATGCAAAACATTTGGTACAAGGCCTTTAGTACTGAAATTGAGCTAATCTCATTCCTACAGAAAGTACATTCAGAACAGCTGCTGACAAATTCACTGACTTGAAAGCTTTTGTTTAAATTAACTTTGGGGTTTTTTTCACATTTAGCTGCTTCAACTTTATGGAATGAAAATAAATATATACCCATGACTTACTTATGGTGGCACTCACACACAGAAATTGCAATTTAAGTAATGCAAAAAGCACATGTCAGACACTAGAATTAGAAAGTGTGAAAAAGTCACAAATTACCTTCATATTGCCCCGTGCTAGTCATTAATAAACAAGATTATGAATCTTTTATATATTAATACTAGTCTGTACACAAGTTCTAACATGCAATTTTCCCACAAGCATTAGAGCTTCAAAGCAGCTTCAAGATGATTGTATTATGTCATCTGAAAATGACAAAGTAGGTTTAAGATGTCTAAATATACATCTATGTAAAGAAGATGCAATATTAAAAATCAGTGCTGACAAAGCCATCATTAAAACACGGCCATTTTATCCCAGTGAATGTTGTCTTCTTAAATTATCACAACATTTGGCTTCCTTCTTTGGGTTCTTCCTGCATATGCTCCTAAAAATGAGTAAAAATGTTACCATATTACAATTCATAGTAATGGGTTTTGAAACAGGATTATCCAACAAAAATAGCTGAAAAAAATCAGGACAATTTTTTTTAAAGCTGTATTATGTATTCAGTGAATACTTTTTAAATGAGAGTTTTCATAATGGTACACCTCAAAACCCTTCTGAAAACTACCTATAGGTTTAAAAGTAATGACATTCTATAGTACTGCCTTACTTGATAACTATTCTATCTTCTTTTCTGCTATTCTAAAACAACTACAACCACAATTTACAATTTTTTTAAAGAACTATTGCATAACCAAGGTAGATTAAATGGCTGATTAAGTTAAACTATGCCATATATTACTTAAAAAACAATTTAAAATATTACACAAGTTGAATACTTAACATAACTCTTTCCTTTTGTCAGATTAATTAAAACAAGAGACAGCTGTAGGATCCCATATGTCAATAAGACAACGAGAATTAGAGGTACAGTATGAAAATCATCAGGCAGAGCCCTTATAAAAGGAAGGATGCTTAAGTAAAAAATAATAAATAAACAAACAAATCAGTCTCTCCAGAAGGAGCAAGTATACACATACATATATTTAAAAATCCATATTATACTATGCAGAGCACAAGTATCTTCCAGTAATGAGGGTTCAGCACTGCAGGCTGCTAAGGAGTAGCACAACTCAGCATTTTTCAGGTCCAAGCAGTTATCAAGAAAGTGCAGCAGTGTGAGCAAACATTTACACAAAGCAGTGAAAACCATATCACAGGGTGCAGAGCAGTGGGAATGGAAGACAGCCATGGAAGAGAAATGGGCACCAGGCAGTAAATGAAGGTGACAAAGGAAGTGCCAGTCCTTTTTGGGCTCTTTGGTGACTCTGGTCAGAGCTGCAGTGGTTACTTACAGGTGTCCCAGGCTATGATCAGCACAGGCCAAAGCAGCTTTGGAATGCCCAGAGCCTCCCACCTCAACAGGCTCCCAGGACACAAAAGGCAGAAATCCTCACTGGCCCTGCCCTCCCCAGGGCTCTGCTCTTCAGATCACCTGGGATCTTCCAGGACAGACAACCAGGCTGACAGACACAGCCCTCTTTTAGTGATTAACACTACCCCTTGACTCACCTCAAGTGTCCTCCAAGTTACATAAAAATGTCACACAAGTAACAGGATATGACAGTAATAGCATACAAGTGTGAAAAAATCCCACAGCAATCTAGACTAAGGAATTGCAAAAGGCAAATCTGAATAAGAACAGTGCCAGTTCTGAAAACAATGATCACCCATCCTTTTCCACTGGCAAGGGGCAACCACATGAGGCCTCTCTCCTGGGACAAAGGACAGACCTGCTGCTCACACCCAGCAGGTCTGAGGCTTCCTGAAGGGCTGGCCTGAAAGTCAACACTCTGCACAGCCCCCACCACCTCACATGGGCAAGCTGTGCCCTTGGCTTGGCCAAGAGCTGCCAGGTATTCTGTGTGCCTCCTGCCCTCTATTTCCTTTCCACAGGAAAGGAAACTGGGCAGAGGAGATGAATAGGTCTTGTTGGAGCAACCTGATCCCAACCACCTTCTGTCTAGCACAACCAGACCTCATTGAATGCCCAGCCTGGCTCCACTTGCAAGCTACTGATGGAACATCTTGGCCTGATTTAAACTAATTGAACTTTTAAAAAAAATACTCATTTATGAGTCTGTACTTTTCTCTTAAGCACAGAACTTTGGATTGAAGGAGCAAAACTCAAGAAAAACTAAGTTTAGGATTGCCACCTGATTCCTAAACAAAATGTCTTCTTGCCAGAAATAGAACAATCAGTCTGAGTGGTATTAAAGCTGCAAAGCACTTTGCATATAGAATTTAAAACAACAATCAGGAGAACAAACAAACAAAAAAAAAAAGTTGGACAAGTATGTTATTTTCTTCTGAAGGTTTGTCTCATGTCAAAGTTGAATGTATTTATAATAACTATATCTTACTAGCCCTCCTTCCCTTTTTGACCCTCTAATAAGCACAATTTAATTGGTAGTGAGGAATGAATGAAGAAAAGAAATCAAATCAATACCGTATTTAACATACTGCCAGACTTTTCACTATTCACATTTCATCCATATACAAAGGAAACCATATTCTATTTAAATATATTGAAGTTAAGTTCTTTCATTATTGCAAAATTATGCAGATTGTTTCTTTCATGCCCAGGTAATAACTTCAGAATGCACTTCTATTCATGCAGTACAAGAAGTCTAACCTATTTCTGAAGGAGCACACTGAGGTGTTGGTATTGCACCATGGGAACATGAGTGATGTCCAAGCCCTACATGAGGTTACACTGAGCAGCCAGAACTAACCAGCATAAAACTGGTTAGCCACATCTGCCTGAAGTTCCAAGAAAGCCACTGCAGAAGGCATTCAGTGACTTTCCAGATACTTGACAAACAGCAACAAGGCAAAGAGAAGTTTGGAGATATATCCCAAAGGAGTTTTTTCATTGCCAAGTATGACCTGTCACAACTTTGGTAATTATGACTTAGATAAACCCAGGGACTTCCTTGGCACAGCAGCACAAGCTGCCAACACAGAAGAGTGTTGAATGCTTAACTGGATGTCAGGGCCAGCCACAGTGTAAACACCACTGTGCTCATTATGAGCTCAGTGTGAATTACATGGCTTTGGGGATGGGACCCAAACCTGAATCAGTGCCAGACCTGACCCTGACACCACCCTAACACTGCTACTCTTTTACAACCTCTGTAATACTGTAACTGGTAGAGGTTTTGATTGTTTTGCTGTCCCTGTTCTTCAGCATGCTCCTTTACTAGTCAGTAGCAAACTTGCAGATGAATACTTGCCTTAATGGCTACATCTGATTGCTAAAATTACATTATTTACTTTATCTGCTTTATATTCCAGGAAGATTATTTATTATCTTTGCTAATTTTTCTGTAGAGTCACTGAGTCCAACCAAACAAACTGCCTTGCTCTACTTTGATGATGACAGCACTGCCAAGAGAACTGAGTACAGAAAAAAAAAATGAACACCTTCTGGTTGTGATCCCATCACCTGCCTTTTATCTCCCCCTCTGATACTGCACTGCTATCTGTGTTTATGCACACTGCCTCACTATACATCCTTCTGTGGCCACTTCTTTTGACTTCACAAAGTAGCATCTGGGAAAACCTGCCATTTAAACAGTGTAAAACACACTGCCTTCAAACTCACAGATACTCCCTGCCAGCATTGCTCTGGGGCAGCAATAAATAAGCACTTCCCTTCTAGGAAAGTTGTGATCCTTATCACATACAGATTATTTAAAACACTATGGAAAATTGTAGTTGAAATCCTACTACATTACACATTTTTCTCATTAAGCCCCACAATTCCCAGTTTTTATACTTGTGGAACTCTCCTTTGAGAATGAAGTGTAATTCAGATCTTAAATAGTTTTAAAACCTATCAACCACTTCACCTTTTGAAAAATCTAGGTTTATCACTTAAGAAATTTAAAATCTAATTTAAAAAATAGAAATTGTGTAAGACCATTCATAGTGTTTTATTAGAGGTTCAGCACTATTATCAAACCTTTTATATAAAAGGTAACAAATCAGTAATCTCTGTATGGTAGCACAGAAATACTCCAGTTTTAAACTTGGGTCATTAAGACTTAAACATGCTGTAAGATGCTACAGGAATATCTATATATATATTTTTAGAACTATATGATGAGTGAACACCCTCTGAGGAGCCTGAAACTGTTCTTCCTGTCCTTTCAATATGCTCCATGCTGAAGATGTGTGTACTAAGAATCAAACCACATGAAGATTCTAATGCAAGTCTATTTTGACTACTAGCAATTTCTCAACAGTTCCAGAGAATATATCTGGCAATCTTTTTTGTGACTGGGCATCTGGTGAGTGAAAGCAAATGAGCTGTGCAGCACATTCTATACATGTGTTTATAGAATCTGAAAGTGGATGGGTCAGTTACCAGCGCAGGTTTGTTTGAAGGGATAGGTTAGACTTAAGGCAGAGCAAAGCAGGTGCACAAGGGAAGGAAAACAATGTATTGCCAATTTATTTCTTCTAGATACTAGTAACTTATTTACTATAAGATCCAAGCACCAATTTTCTACACACCTGAAACAGCCTTGTTAGACACTCTGCTCCCTGCAGCCTTCCTTCTATTTTGCTCAACCCCATTCACTGAGGTCTTAGGGGTTCTAATTAAATATAAAACAGTTAATAAGTCATTTGCAACAAACTTGAAAGGATGCATACAAAAATATAGACACTATCAAAAGGTGTTTGGCATGAAAACATTTTTACAATGTTCCACAGAGCCTCTTCCTGAGCACCAGTACAGTTCCTATTGATATTATTATGGCTTACATAGCTACATTAGTTAGGAGAACATCTCCCCATTAATAGATTGAAAAACTCTATTGAAGAAACTGATTTGATTTAGATACCATGGCATTACAGTCTACATATAAAAGCACAGTATTTCATTAAGTGGAAGCAAAGCTTCATGGAATGAGTGTTACAAATAGAAATGTTGGAACAGTGTAAATGAAGACAATACACAAGAGGATGACAACAATAAATATTTTCCTGCAGTATAAAGGTAAAACAAAGCTTCACCAATCTCTCAAAATACTGAGAGAAGTAATTATTTTTACTCTGAACAACAGTTGTACTGTTATGTGTACGTAGTATGTGTATGTTATGTGTAAAACATTATTCATCAATCACTGTTCTTGCACTTTGAAATTAGTTCATCTTCAGACAAGAAACATGCTGTGCTCTTACCCTTGTCTGCAAAGCAGTCTATGAACTGGGGCATTCTGTCCTTGGTTTGGTTGAAGTATGCTGTTAAAACACAAACTTTTATTAGTGCTCTTTCCCTTTAAAAATAAAAGTCTCTCAAGAAATTCCAAATTATGCATCACCTTTCACATGAAAAATTCAGAAAGGCTAACAGGTTTTGTAATGCAAATGACATGTAAGCAAACTGGCTGGAATTAAAATTTCAGAACAGGATTACCACTTCCACTATTTAAATCACAGAAACAGAAAAGCACACAGATAGATGTCCCTCAACAGTGCCTTGGGTTCCCAGTCATTGATGAGAGCACACAGGAAAAAGGGCTGAATTGCTTACAGTAGTCCTTGAAGGCTGAACTGTATGAGTACACAGCACGTCTTCAAAGCTTTTGGGTAAACATGGGATAAAAACTGTTTGTAAGGGATGCCAGGTATCTGACCTTTAATATGAGATAAACATGCAGACAGGCCTCATAAGAGAGCAGCTGTTATCTGCCTGAACAACATGTACTGAACACTGTAACTTCTGTGATCTGAGCAAACAATCACACAGCCAAGGAACAAAATTTTCCCCACATTAAAAAGCCACTACTTTTCTGACAGCTTTCTAAAGATAAGCATTATCAATAATTGCACTGCAAAGTAAAGGGTATTAGGAAAAGTAGTAGTGCCAAACTGAAGTTTAACAGTGCATCTCAGAGAAAAACCTTAAACCTGAGCACCAAGACTAAAAATAAATGAATAACTTCTGAAGATAAAATTTCAGAAATTATTCTGAAGAAAATATATTATCCTAACTTATAATGAGCTAATAACCCTTTTCTCAGGCCATGGTAAATCAGATTTCATTATTTTCATGACAATATTAGCAGGAATTGAGCTGATCAATGGCAAACCAACAGTACAGATCACATTATTGTAACACAGTTTCTTAAAAGCATTTTAATACAAGTACCTATCACCTACCGATTTTGAGGAGGTTTTTGTTTCATGATTGTTTTTTTACTTGGTATTCCCATTTCTGAAGCCCTAGAGCAACAAAAGTATTAAAACATATTTCAGTTAGCAAGTCATCATCCAGGTCTTGAACAGAAACACTCACAGAAAGCCTACAAGAGGAACCACACCTACATGTAGTACTACCAGAGCAGTCCTACAGATTATCACTTCTTTACTCAGGAGCAAGTGTAACAAGTATCCACCATGTTGCAAGATAATGCCTGCTTCCATTCCCCAGAAAAACTTTACCAGAGATACTCTATTTTCTTTATTGCTAGGCACTTTAGATAGATAAAATCACTTGAGGCACGTTTTACTTTTTACAGTTTGCAAAATCAACCATAAACTAAGCATCCACCACTGCATCATAGCGTAAATGCACAACTAGGAACAAACATTTTTCTCCTTACAAACAGGAAAAGCCTTAAAAGTAAGAGCAAAATACAATTAGCAAGACACCATAAACCTGGAAAGCTTTTTACTCATTCTTCCTAGCAGAGATATCAGTTTGCAAAGAAACTGTTATTCCATAAACTTCTCCTCACTGTTTCCTATGCCTCCTCCTCCTTCTCTTGTACCCCCTTCCACCAACCCTCCCCACCCAAGGGAGAGCTGCACATACTTCATGTACTTTTTCCTGTCCAGAGATTTCTGTGTAGCTGTTGAAAGCATCATTCGCTCTCTTGGGCTCTTTATTTTATCCTAAGAAAAGGATACAGAAGAAAGTTACCTACAAAAGCATAATTAAAAATTTAGATTTAAGAAGCATTGTACATGGTAAGGAAGAATCTCTTAAAAGCAAAATGACTCAGTATTTAAAGTCCTGAAACAGTTTCCATTCCCTGGAAGATAACACACCATTTGCCTGAGCATCTTCTCTTTACGAACTTCGCGATCGTGACGCAGGATGTTCATTCTCTCCGACGCGTCCATGGTGAAAAAGATGTCATGGATGTCATACAGAGCAGCTCGCAGCTGGAAGGAATCATTAAAATGTTCATTACATATTCAATCAAGTTTACGTGCCCGTGCTTTAGAACATCAAGTTCTTTTTGCTTTCAATCTAAACAAAACACTTCGTAATTTTGAAAACCATTTTTTGAAATCAAATAATTTTGTGTCAAGCAAAAAAATGGAATCTTCTCTTCTTTAAATGTTTTACTCTAAATAAAGAAACTCTCGAGGTTTCATGTATTTATGTTACAAAAGCAGAATAGCTAGGAAAGACCAAAAAAAAAAGGTTTAAATTGTGTCACCTGAACCATGACTCTTTCATGAAGAGATGCATCTTGTGCTGACACACTTCCTCTTTTCAATGGGGCTTCAGACTGCAAATTTTTTATGAACTCCATAGTATCCTGGGAAAGATGGGAAAATAAGGCACCAGGCATAACCCTTCATAACAAAACAATCATTACACACAATACACGCAGCAAACAGACTCTTTGTTTGACTTGGACCTTGTGACACTAAGCAAGGCAACACTCAAACATGTTCATGTGCAGCCCCAAAATCTTCCAAGAACAGAAAATGCAGCATTTCATCTGTCAATGGAAGGCAGGAACAAAAGCAAACAGGAGAATAAGCTGCCTATTACAAAAAAAGGCTGATCTTACTTTTACAGTTTGCTTAAGATGTTTCAGTTTTTCTGTCTGCAGGAGTCTACGAGTGAGAAATCCCTTTGCCACTGCTGTGATCTTGTCAAACTTCATTTGCATCTCTGGACTGAAAACCTTAAAAAAAATTCAAAACTTTTTATAAAAAAGCAAGAATTATGAATTATTTATCAAATAACATCCATCAACTGACATAAGTTTCCAAGTAAGAAAAAAGCTGTTGATAAAGCTTTGACTGGGCTCAAAGTACCCACCATAATTTAGCAGAACCAATATATTGCTATATTATTATTTTGCATATATGAATAAGAAAAATAACCTACACAGTTCTCTTATACAATCAAAGTTGACACAGGAAGATACTAAAATTTTATGTTACCAGTGCCTTACAAAAAAAAGAGGGCCTTTTAAGATAAAAATAAATCTGTCTTTTCCCTTACCTGAATCCACCTAGTTTTGATCCTACTACTTGGCCTGCATACTGAGGTCTTTATAATTCCACTACCTGATGGTCCCCAGAGATAGAATGAAGTTTCACTTGTTGAAGAAAAGGTGTTGGGTGTTGTATGAGCAAAACCTGCACAGAAAGCAGAACACACAGCTCAACACACACTTCTGCCCATGAAGTAATGCCTGTGTCTGTGGATACACTCAGCCCGAGGGTCACAGCTTTGTCTACAAGGTCAACCACAGGCAAGAAGCAAGCTGAATATTCCTGATTGATTTCCATGCAAAATTTGCTGAACGAAAGACAGAACAAAACATTTCACAATGCTCTGGAACAGGTGAGAGGTGTTCCATCAGCTGTCGCTGTACTGCCTTGCAGTTAGGAACCCCTGGCAGAACCCTCAAAACCTCCTACACAAACGTGACCACCTGGCCCAGTGCTGTGCAGCTACATGGCACGAGGACAGTCCTTCTGGACATGATGCAAATCCACATCCTCATCCTTGATCAAAGGAGGCTATGCTTAGCTTGTTTTCCTTGGATGTGCCCTAAAACAGTTACATAACAAACGCAGTACATGGAACTGTTCAAGGATGGCTGAACCTGTGCTAAATGCCAGTGACACAAAGATGCAACAGACACTGTTCCACAAATGCTGCCCCCAGCTGAGGGCAGCAGCCATCTGTGTAGCCTGAGCAGCCCTAGGGCAGGAACACTGCACTCATCCACAGAGCAGGACAGCTGGTCCAGTCAAGCACTGTAGAACAAATTATATCACAACACTTAATCTACATTCTTCCCTTCCAGTTTTACCAATGCTGGTGGAGTTTGTGTTATGGACTGTCTCCAGCTGAGACTGCACACTTTCCAGCAAGCTACTTTCACTTTTTTTCCTCCACTCCAACTCCATCCTGCTGTTAATATTCACTTTGGAAATTTCTATTTCCGTTGTAGTAACCTTCTCTCCTTTTGAATTTCTCTTCTTCTCTTCCAGTTCCTACAGAAGGAAGATTCAACCATGAGACTATTTTTCTAACTCTGCAAAGCAACAGAATATACGTTCAAACCCAATTACTTCCTGACAAACTTCCTTTGCTTAGAATTTTTCCTGTTGACCTTACCTTCAGTTCCTCCTGTTCTCTCTCTTGTTCAGCTATCAGAATCGACAGTTGTTGTGCATGCTGTTCTTCAAGTCTCTTTTTCACTTCTTCAAAAGTCAGCATGTTGGTTTTTAAAATACCTTCTGAGAAAATACGTAACAAAGAATCAAATATTAAATACCCTCTATATGATCTTTGCCAGAGACATCCATCCTTTATCAGAAGTAATTAGCCTCATCAGTAAAAAGTAAAAAAGATGTCTTTGATATCAGGTTTCCTTGATATCAAGTTCCCATCATGTATTGCACAGACCTCCATCATTTACTAGTCCTTCAAAATATTTGCACATGCATATTTGTGAACCAAACTTGTGGATGGAACAGCAGTAACACCAAAAGCCTATATTAAAATTGGGGCATGGAAAATACAACTCTAAGAATTGTTACACTTGCTGGAGTGAATTAACATTATTTATGCCACTTCAGCCTCATTTAGCAGAGACACACGCAGACGTAACACAGTCTTGAATTTGAAGAAAATATCTATGTGGTTTTCTTTTAATTTACATGGGCTGTCTTTTCTTTTAGTAGTCTTATTTAGACCTCGTGGCATAAGACAATTGTCTTAGTAAAACTAAATTCCAGCTTCTAGGTTGAAATGGGAAATCAGTATTTGTGAAATCAAATTAAATTAGATAAATGAGGCTTCTGAAAAGAAACACCAATGACTAATGACCACTGGGGATTTTCTAAAATATTTATAAACTGAAAAGTAACCCTCAAGCACAGGAAATCTTTTACCTTTTGCCGTATTTTCAAGGACTGCATTCTTGGTAATGTAAACTGATCCCACAGGATATTTCTGTTCTTGCAACCACTGCTTCTCTTGTTCTTCCATTCCAACTCCGAGAACACAGGAACTGTTTTCTTTTTGGCAGTTGTCAGTGTCCAAATCAAGTCTACGTTTTACCTTTTCAAAATTTTCTGGGAACTGCTCATTTGCTGAGGAAACATTTGGAGTATTATCCAGCTGCTGTCGCACATTCTTGCTCTGCATTAGTAGTGGAGATGGATTTTCCACGTCGTAAGATTTATTGAGTTCCATTGGAGAATTGCATTTAACGTTTTCTGCCAAAGTAGCTGGTTTCATTTCATTCACAGCCAGGATCCTCTGTGTCACTGCAGACTGACTGATGGCAAAGGGCTCATTCACTTTTGGAGGCGCCATACCAGCACTGCTCTCTGCTTTACAGGGCCCCCTGCTGTCCATCACCACCTGTCCTTCCACCACAGCCGACACTGCTCCTCTGCTTTCAAAGAGCCCGAAGGAATGGCGCTTTGGTCTGCCAGCCCCCAACCCATCACAAGGGCCTAAAGAATTCCTGCTGACACCAGGAACTCTGCCAGGACAGACCGTAGTGAAGTCCACCATGAACTTCGGCACCGATTCAGACACATTGTTTTTATCTGCAATATCTTGCATGATTAAATCCATTGTTCTACCCTTACCTTTAGGACTTAACTCATAAGCATTCACAGGGTTGTTTATAATGATGTGTCCCATGGACAAAGGTCTTGGGCGCCGTCGGTGCACTTTAGGGCTCACGCTTGGCTCTGGGCTTGGCAATTTGGTATAAGAGCCTGTGAGGCTCCTGACAATGCTACTGTCACGCTCAAACACAGAATTCTTTTTCAATTCCTCATCTGAATCTGAATCTACCAAAGGGGGTGTTCCAACTCTCATAGGTATGTCTACTTTAGAAAAACTGGATAAAGTGGACATACTTGTGTTACTTGGATGCATAGAGGCACAGTGGAGAAGAGTACTTGATTTATTAATACTGGGTTTATCAAGTGTCTGAGCAGTGCAACTTCTGCCTGTAAGCTTGGCCCGCTCTTTCACAGAGTCGGTTGTTTTGACACCATCATTTTCTTTATCCGAGTGACTTTCACTTGTACTCCTCTTTGAATTGCTTTTCGAGGTACGCTTGCTTTGCTCTTTCTCTATGTACTCCCTAGACTTCTTTATCAGGTTCTGAAGACTCATTACACATGGATCTTGGACATCCTCATCTGATGGTGACCCCACTCGTCCCTCCTGCTTCTGCAGAGCATGAGACGGGACCTTGTTACACACCTTGTCAGGAGATGCAGCCCTCGGACACGGCGCATCTTCCGAGAAGCGACTCTCACCTGGCTTTGAAGAAACATTTTCTTCTGCTGCCTTAACTACTTCTGTCATATTTGATGTCATTTGCCCTGCAGTACCTGATGGTCTGAGTTCTGATGTCTTTTCCAGGTCCATGGAACTCTGCCTTTCAGGAGTACATGCTGAATTGGTATCTGATAGAGCTGTGAAGTCAGTCAAAGCCTTTGAATCCAAACCAGGGCAAGAACTCTCAGCCTTCGATGTGTTTGCATCACTCATGCTAGGTCCTTTCTTCATCTGCAAAAGAAAATTTTTAAAAATGACAGATTTTCAATAAAATCTCAGAATTTCAGAATCTTGTAAACTTCACTTGAACTTAAAAAAATTTTTAAAAACAACTTAAGTGAGAATTACATGTTACTTCCAGCCAGCATTTGTTTAAAAGGATTTTCACACTACAACTATCCTTTAAGCTGCATCTTCGTTATCTAAAAGACACATTTGAAAAAAAAACAAAACAAAACAAAACAAATTTACATTACTTTTGTATTGAACATACTTTCCTGATCTGCTGGTCAAACCCCAAGCCAGCTGACTGTTGCCACACACACTCAGTAAACAATGCAAACTACAAAGTGCTGTTTGCCACCTTGGTAACTCAACAAACTCAGTATTAACTGTTTAAGCAACAGTTTAATCTAAAGGCTGTATTACAGCTGTTTCCAAAGACATACAATAACTTCTTAATTAGATATATACAGTAGTCTTTTAAATTAAAACATCTGCTAAATTCATAATTGAAGCAGCAAAAAAAAAAATAGTTACAGTAAAATTTTAAAGCACACAACAGAAATTCAAGTTGTTGTGAAAGTAATTTTAATTCTGTAATCATCAAGTTGAATATAGATTATGATTAAGCTATAAGTTTGCAAATAAAGCAGCTCTAACACACACGAGTTGTTCACTTGTTTTAACAATCCAGTTGTTTCCAACACTTACAAAAGAAGCAGTGAGCTCTGTCTTTTGCATATAGCAAAAGAAGCAGTGAAAAGCAAGTCCCATGCACTACCATGAGTATCAGTAATGACCAATTATCAGGACACACAGCATGAAATACTAGCAAATGCTGGTTCTGGGGAGTAGCTGCTATTCCTTTCATGTTTATATTGGGGAATACTTAAACCCCAACACTTTCTCAAAATGTCTACAGCAGTGATTTTCTGTAAATCTATGAGGCAGCTTTGGACTAACATACCTGGACATTTTCTACAATCTCCTGAACACGATTCAGTAAAGCTTTTTTCCGGGACTCCCGTTTCCTGGTCTCTATCTCCAGTGCTTTCTCCTTGTACTGCTGTATTTCCTTTTTCTTTTCAAGGCTAAGCTGCAAAACAGAGTGTAAGAAACATAATTTATATAATTAAACGCAAATTTCAATACAGAATTACAGAAATAAATTCAAAAGAAAAACAACAGATCAAAACAATTACAAAAACAGAAAACACCTGAAACTTTGTGCACACATTAAATGCCAGCTTCTTCTCAAGCAATTTTTTAAGGGAAGGTGTATAAAATGCCTGCTTGGCACACATGCAAATGAACATGAATTTGAAACACCATTTATAAAATTTTCCATGAACATTACATGCTACAGTATTAATCTGACTGTATTCAGAGATTTTTTCTAAAAACTCTTACAACATCCATGCATCTGTAAATTAAGAATGTAACAATATATCCACAATTTATTTCTGTATCATGATTTTTGGATGTTGTAAGAGACTCTCTCCCATTTCTTCCCATCACTGAAACAAGGAAGTCAGCTGCAGTATTGCAGGAACTACCAACAATCTTCAGCTTAGCTCTGTTTGCATTAGCACAGAATGACTTAACATAATTGATGAGCCTGTGGAATACATTACAGGAAGATGCAAACACATGCAAAAAAAATATTCCTTAAAAGCTTTTTAACTATCTCAGTATTTCTCCAGGAACTACCAACAATCTTCAGCTTAGCTCTGTTTGCATTAGCACAGAATGACTTAACATAATTGATGAGCCTGTGGAATACATTACAGGAAGATGAAAACACATGCAAAAATATATTCCTTAAAAGCTTTTTAACTATCTTGGTATTTCTTATTCACATTTTTTGCACCATTACAATAACTCACAAGTTCAAAATATGAAATGTCAATATGATTTTACATGAAGCCCAGTAGTAACATTATTGAAAACAATCAACATTTGTGCTCCCCTTAGGAAGATAATTTCTAAAAAAATTAAAAGAAATTTAGTCAATGTGAGGGAGAAAAACATATATTTAACCCCTTGTTTTGTAAGATTAAGGCTAGGAATGCTTAAAATACAGGAAGCAGCAGGTCAGATGACAGCTCACAGACATCTTCAGTAGAATCATTCTTTATAAGTGCACACCAAAGCCAGTGCCAATAGCACAGTTAACACACCAGGGAGGAAAAGGAATAAAAAAACGCCTTACCAGAGGGGAAAGCACAGGAACTCCATAGAATTGAATGAGGGAGATATTTTTGTTCTGAACAGTCAAAGAGGTTTTTCCTTTTATTGCCTCTGCTTGGATTCTGGAAAGATGTTTCCTACAGAATATTTCATAGTCCTCCATCTTCATGTTATCTAAGCTGCAAGGAATAACAACATTACTCTTCCATGCACTTCCAAGACCTTGAAGGGAAAACAACAGCACCACTAATTCTGTGTCACTATGTTTTGGGAAGCAAATTCTACATTAGAAAACTGAGTCAGGTTTCTCTTTCTCCTAATCATTAACAAAGCCTGCAAAACTCTTCTTTATTTTCCCCTATGAAAGGAGGATCTGCATGTATGCTAAAAAATGCTGATCACAAACAAATGGAGAAGAAAACAAGCATTGAGATAATCAGGATTTACAAAACAGTACCTGCTATAGATAATTTCCACCAAAGACTAAACCTTTGAGATCTTCCACAACGAGACAGATCCTATCAACTGTCAAAAAAAAAACCCCAAAACCCAGCACAGACAAAACTGCTGCCCAATTGGATTAAAAAAAAAAAAAAAAAAAAAGCCTTTACAGGTTTAAGGGCTGAGAGGAATTCATGTCTCACTCCCGTGAGCCTCCGTCTCGATACATCCCTGTATGAACAGACGCCAGTACTCACACCACAAAAATAAAATAAAATAAAAAATTGCAACCTTGTCTCCTTAAAAGCGGCCCAATATGTGAAATATCTGTCACTGCCCGTCCCCACCGGAGCGAGCCCTGCACCGCCGGCAAGGCCTGACAACGCTTTGTTCCCTGGCACGCATCGGCCGATCCCTGCCCGCCCGCCCCGGCGCAGCGAGCCCGCCCCGGGCTGGGCCGATGCGTGGGCCGGCCGGGCACGGGCACGGGCACCGCCCCGCGAGCACCGCGGCACGGGCCGGCCGGGCACGGGCACCGCCCCGCGAGCACCAGCGAGGGCAGCCCCAGCGAGAGCGGAGGGGATGGAGCGCCAGGCCGGTGCTCCCATTTCCTGCCATTTCCACCCATAGCTCGCCCACGCAAGTTGCCCTGTTAGCACGGGTGTGATCTGTTCTGCTCCGTCCCATTGCAGGTCACACGGCTGTGCAGTCCTTGTGCAGTCGGGACCGCCGCAGGTATCAGTTTCAGCGAGCACGCTGTGACTGATGATATCTGTTTCTCTGTGACAGATAAAGATGCGCACCTGCTCCCGTGCTCTGTGAGGACAGCCCCCAGCAGGACAGCATCCATGAGGGCATCATCACTGACATCCTATCCCTCCCGCCCGGGCAGCAGCTGCCGGTCTAGCCAGTCCAGCAGCAGGTAACACTCACCTGACAGGCAGGTCAGGTGCAAGGAAAATCCACACTTGTTTGCCAGCGTTTGGCCCAGGCATAATTAATTTAAATATATGGAAGCATCTAATTCCCAGCATTTAGAGCTGTTAAAGCTGTCATTCTCGTTTCAAAAAACAAGTTCATCATCTGTTGCCTCTTCAGTGATCTTTGAGGGGCTCTATTTTTTTTAATTTCATCTTTAATCTTAACAAAGGCTGTTGTTTATCAAAGGGTTTTTTAAATCTGTTAGACATCTAATTAGGCATTCCATTATTTGTTGTGCATCTGCATACATATCTCTGATTTTTCTTCTGCTACACCTGGCAGAAACACAAAACCACTGACAGAGTACCTGGGATGCTCAGAACCAGCTAGGACACTATGTGACAAATCTTCACCTCAGCAATAAAAAAAATTTTAAAAAACCAAACAAACAAACAAAAAAAATCCCTAAACAAAAAAAAAAAAAAAGGCAAAAAAAAAACACCTCACATCAGTTCAGAAGATGGCCTCACGCCTGTTCTACCCCTAGTTGCTCAGAGCTCCTCGCTGGAAAGCCGGTTGCTTCCCATCCTTCCCACAGACACAGACACCAAAAAGCCGGTCAAAACCCCCACTTACATTAACACACACTGCTAGTTGCTCGGCTTTGCTGTTCCAGTTTCCGCAGCCTTCACTCAAGCAGCTGTTTCCGTGCCGTGTTGCTCATCTCCCCGGACTCGTGGCCGATGTTCTCGCCGGTGCCGGCGGGCAGAGCCGCGGGCCCTGTCCGGAGGCACGGCTGCTCCTCCGCGGCTCCTGGGCCTGGCCTGTGGGCAGGAACCACTGCACGGTCAGCTACATAAAACGCACAGTATATAACACTGTATATCACAAACCAGCAGTTAGCTGGAAAATAATCACTATGGATGTTGTGTTTCTAATTAGCCGGCTGGCACAGCCACAGAAAGCCCTCAACACTCTCCATATGCACAGGTGTGTGTATGTCCCTGGACAGCGCTGCCTTTCCTTCCTTTAGCACCCTTTACTTTTATCTGCACCGTGTTTTATCAGGAACGGCCCGTTTCCCGCAGTGCCCCGTGTTCCATGAGGAACAGCCCCTGTTTCCCTCAGTGCCTTGTGTTCCATAAGGAACAGCCCCTGTTTGCCTCAATGCCCCATGTTCCATCAGGAACAGCCCCTGGTTTGCCTCAGTCCCCTGTGTTCCCTCAGGAACAGCCCGTTTGCCTCATTGCCCCGCATTCCACCAGGAATGGCCCCGTTTTCCTCAGGAACAGCCCCTGTTTGCCTCAGTGCCCCGTGTTCCATCTGGAACAGCCCCTGTTTTCCCGCGGTGCCCCGTGTTCCATCAGGAACGCCCCATGTTCCATCAGGAGCACCCCGCTTCCCGCACGCCCCTCGCGGCGTTACCTGAGGTGTTGCTCGGGGCCCGGGCTCGGTCCCGCCCTCAACGCGGCCGGAGAGGGCCGGGCGGACACTGCGGGCGCTGATTGGCTGCTGCTGCTGACAGCCGGGCGCTGATTGGCTGCTGCGCTGACAGCCGGGCGCTGATTGGCTGGCTGCTGGCGCCGCCGCCGCCCTGGGCGCTGGGAGCGGCGGCGGCCGTTGCTCGGCCGGGCCGGCGGTGCCCGCGGCCCGCCATGCTGTGCCACGGCGAGGGCCTGCTGAGCTCGCTGACGGCTCTGATGGCGCTGGCGCTGGCGCTGAGCCGCAGCCCGGCGCTGGCCTGCCTGCTGCCGGCCGGGCTCTACCTGGCGCTGCACCTCCTGTCGCTGGAGCCCGCGGCGCCCCAGAGCGCGCAGCGCGTCCTGCGGCCCCGCGGCGCCGCCGCCCGCATCGCGCACCGCGGCGGCGCGCACGACGCGCCCGAGAACACGCTGGGCGCCATCCGACAGGTCAGCGCGGGCCCGGGCGGGCGGGTTCTGGCTCATAATCCGCACTTCCAGCAGCAACTCGGGCCGTTCTTCCCTGCCGGAAGCTGTGTGGGCCCTTGACCCTTCATCCCAAGGGGAACTGCAGGTCCGAGTCCTGTGGGAGCTGCTGTAGCCTTGGGTGTTTCAGCGGTGCAGCCATAATGAAATCTTGTGTTTCGTTGATGTAGCAGCAGCACACAGAGAGCGGACAGCAAGTCAGTAACAGGCTGTTTGTTTTGTAAAACCTTGAAGATCTGTGATGAAAATCCACATTTAGGGGAAGATCTGGTAGCAGCAGTTCGCTGTGGGCAGGCCTGCCGTGCCTCGCTGCCCCCTCAGCTGCACGGCATCCAGCACAGCCAGGGTTCACAGTCTCTTTCTGGGAATCACTTGAATTAGTGAATATCAGTCCCTGGAGTGTAGTGTTCCTGTGAGGTTGAGGTGTTGCTGCTCTGAGGATCCCTTACCTTTGTGTGAGACAGGATTCCCAGTCCTGATAAACTCTGAAGCTGCACAATCCTTGCGTGGCAGACACCTGGAGGCAACCTCTGTACCCGGCTTTTGTCCTTCTGGTGCATTGTCCCCTTTCCCAGGAGGGCACTTGTCCTTCAGAGCAATTCAGGTGTTGTTAGCACTTCACTCGAGTGTTCTTCTGAAGAGTTCTTGGGAACGATCCCGGGCAGGAACAGGGTGTATGAAATGTTCTAAGGCAGCCTGGCTGCTTCTTGCTCTCTGTTAAGGCCATTCCTCAGAGAGGAGCAGGGGTTTGCCATCCATCTACTGCTTGCTGTACACGTGGTAAGCAGTGTTCACTAAGTGTTAAAGTGCAGACATTTGCTTCTCTTGTCTTTCATAATAAGGACTCCAGGGTTATTACATCAGAAGGAGAGAGCAGGATTCTTTTCTGCATTTTTATCCTGAAACAGTTCAAATCCCAAGACTGAGGGAGAATCATTGTGGTTTCAGCTGTAAAATAGATTAGATGGTTCAGTTATTTTTTGAATGCTCAACAATGACTTGGGTAAAACTTGCTTTATTTTGCAGATAGAGACTACTGAAAAATACATTAATATTTTATTAATTTTTTACCAAAATACAAGCTAATTATAGCTGTACCTGTGTCAAATCTATAAACCTGTCTTTTCTGTTGTGTATGTGATTTTCTAAATTTTTTTTAAGGCAGCTGAGAATGGAGCAACGGGTGTGGAGCTGGACCTTGAATTTAGTGCAGATGGTGTCCCCATTCTCATGCACGATGACACAGTTGAAAGGACAACTGATGGGGCTGGGAGTCTGAGGGACCTGACGTTTGAGTAAATCAGGAAGCTTAATCCATCTGCAAAACACAGGCTACGGTAAATGAACTGCTCTGAAATTTAACTTTCAACAGTGCAAAAATAATTCTTGATGAGCAAAATTATTGATTTGATCTATCACTCATGAACATTTTTTTAAATTTAAAACTTAGTCCTATATTTTATTTTTAATTTGATTTTTAGAGGCATGGAGACTCCTTAACCATCAGTAGATTAGGAACAGTGAAATACAGTCAAGATAAACTGGTTTTCAGGGACAAAATCCACAGGCATCTAATGTGAGACAGGTCAATATCTACATAAACTAATGAACTGGTCAATATCTACCTAAGTCCTAAATTGACTGCAGGACGCTAAAAGTGCTGGGATCTTCATGATATGTCAGAATTGGCCAGAGGAATTACTTCTAAGATTAATTTTACTCACATGTGTTAATTGACTGATTGTGTTTTGGGGATTCTACACATCAGGTTTATACTGTTGAAGAGGAGCTAGACAGATTTTGGGTGGCCTCACTGTGACCCTCGTGGCTGATTAGGTGATTCCTAGGGGTATGCAGGGGGAAATATTTTTATACATTACTAAGAATTTGATAACAGTGCAACTTGAAGTATCATGAGTGAGTCAATTTCAGAGGAAGAACTTGTCCTGAGACACTGAGTTAGGGAGCCCCAGAGGTGCAGACGTGCCTCCTGTGAGTGTGGCACAAGGAGCATCTTCCCTGTCTCACTGGAAAGGTGATCACCTGGGCCACGCAGGGGGAGTTCCCACAGGCAGTGACTGCTGAGCAGCTGCTCTTCAGTGTCAGGAATGAATGAATGTCACCCCACCAGGAATGATTTATTGATGGTCAAGCTGCTTCTGCTGAATCCTCAGCTTGCTCTGCCTGTTCTGCCAGGATCTGCATTTCTGGCTCAAGCTGGGGAGTGCAGTGAGGAGCAGGAGGAAAGCAGCAGTTGGGACTGAAAGCTTGTTTGTGGGAAGGAGGAGAGGAACTGCCGTTGATGTTTTGGGGCAGGAGACAAGGCCAGTGAGCCCTGGATCCCACCTGCAGCTCCAGTGCAGCAGCAGACTGTTGGAATCAGCCCCGTGTGGTTGGTGACAGGCAGGCCCATGTGTGTGCACGTGTGTGTTGACTGCATCCCAAGGAGTTCTCTGTTTCCACAGGAGCCAATTCCAAGGTGAAAAGGTGCCAACTCTGAGAGAAGCTGTTGTGGAGTCCATGCATCACAATCTTACAATCTACTTTGATGTCAAAGGCCATGCAAATCAGGTACTGCTCAGTGCAGCATGGCACCTCCCCTCACCCCTTCTGTGGCTCTCTGACCTGCTCTGGTGCTGGTCTCACACTGGTCCCTGTGTACAGTCCCTTCTTTGCCATGAGTGAGTCCAGGCCTGCTGCTGGTGACAGCCAGAGCTGTCCTGGCAAGCTGCAGCTCAAACTGGCACAAGGCCTGTGCAGGTGTTGCACTCAGCTCCCAGCACTGCTGTGAAACAGCAAAGGGAATTCCCTGCTGTGCTGAGGGGAGTCACTACCTCATCTTCAGCCTCCAGTGAGGGATCTATAATTTGCATTACTGAGGGCAGATGCAAATGACCTATCACTAATATTTTATATAAATTAGAGTAATTTTTTTCTTTAGCCTAGCAAAATATCGGAATAAATAATTTTCCTCTTAACTAAAGCTTGGGTAGTACTAAAAATTATATCCACAGCATATTTAAGCACATTTCAAACACTGAGAATCTTACTCATTGTTGTAAATAGAGTAATGAGCAGAAATTCTTTTGTTAAAAACCAAAATATCATTTCTGTGTTAATGCTATAAATAAGGTGCTGTTTTTCTTCTTCTCCCTTTCTATTTCAATCTTGCAACACAGCAGGGAAGTGTTTTCAAGATTGTTCTAAAATGACTTGGCAGTGTAAATTAAATATGAGTGTATGTATAACATCTCTGTGTGTCTCTAATTGCAGGCAGTTGATGCCCTGAAACAACTCTACCAGGAATTTCCACAGTTGTATAACAGCAGCATTGTCTGTTCTTTCATGCCAGATGTTGTTTATAAGGTGATGTTTCCTAAAAGTTGGGGGTTTTTTTCAGTCCTGTCTGGGAATATCAGTATGGTATTACACTCCCAGTTCCAGGTTGCTTTTGGGCTGTTCAAATTCCTAAGGCTTTTAAAAACAAATGAAGCATAATGCATTAATCTTATTAGATTACTCTACTTATTAAATGCAAAAGGAATCTACAGCAATTCTGTCCCTTCTGAAAGCAGTGCAGACAAATGTGCATTGCTCTGCTAGTTGGTGTCTGGCCAGGTATCTGTGTGCAAGGTACCTGCTAAATAAATATTCTAGATACTCCTAAAACTCTATCCTCATTGCCAAGTCTACTTACTTTTTTTAACATTATATGCATTGCATGACTGCTATGTAATTTCTTTAACATAAGAGCTGGTGCTTATTCAGTATGATTTGAAGAAAAAAAATTCATACAGTATGGTATGTTATAGGTTTTTTTAAGAAAAAAAACCTATAACATACCATAAACATCTTTCTAAAAGAGTTACAAAAGGATGTGAAGGGGAAGGATAGGATTCTGGTAGAATTGTAAATGCAAGCTAGGACTTTGTATCTAAACTCTCAAAAATTGTATTTAATGCTGCTGGGCTTTTGGATGAATTACAGTCTTTTCTCCTTGGTCCCCCAGATGAGGCAGGCTGACAGGAATGTTGTGACAGCACTGACCCACAGGCCCTGGCAGCTGAGTCACCTGGGAGATGGGACACCCCGATTCAGCTCCTCCTGGAAGCATTTCTTGTACATGGTGATGGATGTCATTCTGGACTGGAGCCTGCACAGCTTCTTGTGGCGACTCTGTGGGGTTTCAGCTTTCCTCATACAGAAAAATTTTGTTTCTCAGTAAGTGTTGGAGTTTGCTCATATATCAGGAGCTATTCTCTTCTGTTAGTGTATGGGGTGGAGTTAACATAGTATGTGCTTATCAAAATGTTCCATTTAGTGCTGGGTGAGGTGTCTTGATAATTTCTTTACTCCGTGCTGTTTTAGGATTTTAAGCCTCTATCTTTTTTACCTGAATTTTTACCTTCTGTTACAGCCTACATTTAATCTCAAAGAGAAAAAGCATTTGTTGCTTTGCCTGTTTACAATAAGAAAACACAAAAAGATGATGTTGCAGAACATGACACACTGCTGTTCCTTGGTGTGATGCTGATGCAAGACCAAAACTCAGCTGTAGCCTCAGCACTGTCTGCCTTAACTCTGTGTGGTGTCAGGCTCCTCTCAGGGTGTCTCTGTTCCTTGCAGGGACTATGTGAGCCACTGGTCTTCCAGAGGAATTCGGGTGGTTGCCTGGACAGTGAACACGTTTGCAGAGAAAAGCTACTACGAAAGTGTCCTTGACTGCCCCTACATCACCGACAGCTTGGTGGAGGACTGTGACCCTCACTACTGAGGCAGCCTCTGCCCTCTGCCCTCCTGGGCAGCTCTGCAGCCACCAGGGCATCCAGCACTGCTGAGCACAGCTCTGGGAAAGGCAGAGCAGCACTTGGCTTCTGCCTGTGGTCACACCTCAAATGCAGGAACCTTCTGGTGCAGCCGGAGTCTGAGGAAATCACTGTAATGTAAAAGAATCATATTTGGCAACCCTGTTAGGCCATCCCTTGCCTGTGCAGGTGGCTTTATAATTCTCAAGGAATAATTCTATTCCTTGGCTTTGTTTAAATTTTGGTTCTGAATTTTGGTGTCGGCAATTTTGGTGTCAAAATTTCAAATCATAACTTGATGTTAGTAATTTTAACAGCATGTTCTACAAGTGTATACTAATTTGAGGTTGATTTATAGCACCTTAAGATCATTTACATTACTGTTCTTAAAACAGAAAGTGGAAATAATGGTACAATGGTGAAAAAATAGAAGATAAGCATATTTCCCTGCCCTGTGTGGAAAGATGGCTGTGCTGAATCCTGATGAGGAAGAAAAAGCCAACTTTCCATGTGTGATGTGATGTGAGCTTATGAGAATTAACAAATAAAACTTGAATAGCTTCTTATCTTCCAGACCTTCTAAGACAACCAGGGGAAGATAGGAAATTGTTTCTTCTAATGAAGAAAAAACACAGCACATGAATGTATTTATTTTTAAGATAAAGCTATATGTGGAGTGGTGGTAAGCAGTAGAACAAATGGAGCTGAAATGTCTTTTTAGTTTGCCTTTGGTTGCATGATTGAAGGGCACTGAGAGGGATATGGAATCTGTAATGCAGATGTAACTTGAACTCCAAAGGATCTGTAGTTGCAATAAAAAGTCTTCGAGAATTCATGGAGAGGGGTCTTTGTCAGGTGTGCAGAAGGGCATTTATATAAAATGTCAAAATTAGTGCAGATTGTCCCAGTTAGGGTAAATCCAAACTTCTGGAATATGAAAGATTCATGGTACAACCTGCTGGGAGGATGGATTTTCTGTTTGTGTCCTGAGCTCAGTCCAGGCACAAAGAAGCACAAAGGAGGTGCTTTTCCCTGCCCTGCAGAAGCAGCAATCTCAGCCTCCTGGTGCACGTCCTGTAGGATGTGTAGGTTTATGTTCAGACCCTGTCCTGCCCCTTCCTGGGTCCTGTGGCCTCTGCTGAGCCCCCAGGGGCTCCCACTGAAGGGCAAATGACTCTCCACGGCTAATGGCCCTCTCTCCAAAGGTCCAGCTGTTGTTGCTGCTTGAGTTTCTGGCACTGCTGAGCCACTGTCCTCAGTGCAAACACCAGGTCCATGCCCAGTGCCCACAGCTGTATGTGCAGGGAAACAATAAAATTGAATCTCTGCTCTTGCACTGTGTGTAAAATTTGTCCTTTTCTCTGTCTCTCTGGTGGCTGGGTTTGGGCTGTCTTTAGCCTAAATTATTAGCAAGATGAAAAGATGTGCCTCTTTCCAGAGCAACAAGGGAGGAAAAAAATGGGCACTAGTAGAAAATGAGCTAAACAAAACAAAAATTATCGTGGTGGCGAAGTTGTAGTCTTGAATGAAAAGAAGCTACATCAAATATCACAGTCATGTATGATAAAAAAATAAATCTTAGTTGGTTTACTTCCAATCAATCCTTTATAGGAAAATATGTGTAAACTTTCAGTTTACAAGCAATAGTTTTACACAGACGAGAATTTGATAGTCACTCTTAGTTCTGATGGCTTCATCAAAGCAGCTTTTAAGGGACTGTAATAATCTGTGAATATGACTCAGAAAAATGAACCCAGTTTACACAAGTTATTTCACAGCCATTACAATGTCTCATTCATTAAAAACAACTGCACTTCAATATACTTCTGTTTATTTGACCAATATTTCAGATAAAAGCTGATAAAACAGGTAAAACAATATATTAGAAAAATATTTCTAAAACTCAACTTTTATTTACAGTTAGGCACCAGTTTCCTTCTATTTAGATGACAACACGTGGTCAGCTGTGGAGGGAGCCTTACTGCATCGAGGTGCTGCCAGTCCTGGGGGAAGGCTGTCACCAAATACCACTGCTGCAAACAACCCCCACAGGTGAATATTCCCTGTCACAGTAAAAAACCGAAGTCCCGACACATTTTGCAACCCGTTCTTCTATGTTTTCCTTCCATTTAGACGGAGAAAAAGATGTTTGAGAGATTCTTCCAGTTATCTGTGCAAGAGAGGATTGCTTGCTGGGGCCAGTGCCTTCCCTCGGGCTGTCCGTGCCGCTCAGGGCTGGAATCCCCCGCTGCCGTCGCTGTCCTCCCCCAGCGCCGCTTCCCGGGCGCGCAGGGCGAGCGCCACGGCCCGGGAGGGGCTGCGGCTGCGGCTGCGGCTGGGATCGCGGGCTGCTGGGCACACGGCAAACAGCGTTAGCCGAGCTGCTGGGGACAGCCAGAGCACCCCCTGCTCTCTAGGGAGCTCCTCTGCCAGGCTTTTGCAATGAAGTTACGTGGAAGCTCAGATACCACGCAAGATCCCATAGCCTTGTTTTACTCCGAGCAGGATGATGTTCTAGGGACTCAGCATTAGTAACCTCTACAGCATCAGTAATCTCTACAGCATTAGTAACCTCTTCTGAGCATTAGTAACTGAGCACTAGTAACCTCTACAGCATCAGTAACCTCTACAGCATCAGTAACCTCTACAGCATCAGTAACCTCTTCTGAGCATTAGTAACTGAGCACTAGTAACCTCTACAGCATTAGTAATCTCTACAGCATTAGTAATCTCTACAGCATTAGTAACTTCTTCTGAGCATCAGTAACCTCTTCTGAGTTTCACACCAAGATGTTTCTAAAGAGATTTAAAGTTCTTGCCTACCTATTGGGTGCTCCCATAAGACAAAATGGCTCATTTACCCAGGAATTTCACTGTCTAGTACACAGAAGCTGGTGGTTGGTCTTTAGAAGTCACCACCAACACCAGAACAAGCTACCAAAAAGCACAGCCTGTACAAAAAAGTCACCCCACAAGCCCAGTCATTTTGTTTTCTCTCTACACAAGATGCTAAAATGCTGTGTCCCTGACATGCAGCTGTTACACACTGTGTCTGTCCATCAAACATTTTTACTTAGCTGAATTTTTAAGAGCTTTCTGTGTTTCATCTTAGTTGCTTACCTGGTGGAAAGTCACTGCTGCTTGAGATCTCAGCAGAAAAGGGATGCTGAAAACAAAATTCACAAGCAGACTTAGGCTGTGTTTCCCTCCTGTGTGTGTTATCTTGCATTTGAAAAGATACCAGTTATCTGTAACCATACTCTTCAAGTCTTGAGCAGGTTTATGATTATGAGTGTTCAACAGCTATTCTGATCACATTTTTATATCTGTTCAAGTTAATCTTTAAAGTTATTTCCATGCATACAGGACTTTGCTACATATACACACATCACCTATGCCACACCCCAGATTCTGTAGAGGGGAATCTGCATTTCCCTCTTTTGACCATCTCACCTCATTGTAGGATGTGTTTTGGTTTCTGTCAAATGCCCTTTCTGGGTAGTCTGGCACCTCCTGGGCAGGTTGCATGGATGGGTGATATGAAGAGGAGCTTCTCTGAAAAACAGTATTTGGCATCAGCAGTCTGTGATCTGGCTTCCAGCTGTGACTGTGTGGTCAGCACTGCTCATCTCCCCTGTCTCAGGGAGATGGCCTTTGCTAAATCCACAGTGAGATCATTCTGGCTTCTCCTTCTGAAATCTGAACTAACAGCTACAAGAACATCCACACTTGGTAGGTGACCAAATCTCCCTCTCAGGAATCCCACTCGTGACACTCAGCATGGGCAGATGTTGTTTGAAAATCCCCAGCACATAGAAAATGTCCCTTCATATTCAGCTTACCTCTTTACAGTCAATATTTACTTGTATTATTACACATATTTATAGTTAACAACAGTTCAATATCAATTATTATCCATATTTGGGGTTTTATTTCTTTAACCATTTTAATGATAGCCAGTCATGAAGGGGGATTTGGTTTTTTGAGAGGAAGGAGAGGAACCTATCAAAGCCATTTTCTCTATCAGTGTGTAAGTCAAGGAGTTTTTACTCAACCCAAACAAAAACAGCAGACAGCACCTGTATGTCCACATTTTAGCACTCATTTGATGGCTCAGCAGGCAGGACTGCCTTGAAAAATAAATTCAAGTCTAGCTGTCAGTGTTGTATGGGATTTCAAATGGAGTTAGGTCAAAGCACTCAGTTTTACCTCAGCTGAAAATAACCACAAATCACAACCCCCTAAGGAAATCCATGGCCAGGGGAGGAAGGCAGCCTCCTCCTTAGCCTAGGGAAGGTTGTGACCAAAGCCTTCGGTGACCATCACTGCACATGAACACTAGGAATGTTTTCTTGAAGTTCCATAACCATAAATTGTGTCTGGTGAGGGTAAGGACTTTTCTATATCCAGACTGAATTCCAGCCTGGAATAAATAATTAGGGAACATTCACAGCATCCTTTTGCTGTCTGGAGTTAAGTAGCAAGCATTTAGATGAAGTTTTAAGTGCAGCCTTTTCCCAAACCAGCAGCCTGTTTGCACAGCTGGAGGAGCCCCATGCAGCTGCACCAAGTAATTAAACAGCAGAAGCTGAGCAGTCAGACTGACCTGCTGGCCTCTTCCTCCCAGGGCAGATGATCTTCTCTTTGCCCTTTGCAGTGCTCGTAGCTTTTTCAGTAGAAACATCTTATCTTTTCCTGCCTGCAGCCAAGACATATTTGATCATTAGCTGGAATGCACTAATTGTCCTTGAGAGGCTCAAGGCCTGTAAGTAACCAGTGACCAAAAGAATTCCTTCTATTCTAAAATAATCTGTCTACAGAGGGAGCTGCAGCAGCACATCTTGAAGATAAAATTCTTTTGCTGCACTCTATTTGTGAGTTAAATTTCCCTGCAACTCCCATTGGGAAGGGCTCCCACCCTCCTACTATACACAGTCATAGGAAAAACAGGTTACAGCCCCACAAAGCTGGATGAGACAATCAACATAGAAGCCAAATTATACAAAAGAAACAAATGAAAGCCAAACTTACATTATTAATTTGCTTACGTAAGAGTTCGGTCATGGTCTTTCTTCCTTGTATTATTTGCCAGTAAAGATAAGTAACAATTCTAAACAAAATAAAACCAAAAATAAAGGTCAATCATATGAGCATTTTATTCTAGTCAATGTCTAGATAGAAATGTATCTTAATGTATGTTATTAAAAGACATATACGCACATCTCTGTGTACACACACAGAGAAAATAGATGTATACAATTACACCAGCAATGGCAAACACATGGATTTGCCTAAAACATGGCAAATGCATGAAATTGCTTAAAACATTCTTTGGAAAAAACCCAAAAGCTTATGGACTTGTATTCAAGATGAGAGGCACATTTAAGTGAGTCAACAGTACAAGATGCATTTCAGATAACAAAATAACATAGAATGACTGTCATTGCCAGTTTTTTCCACTTAAGGCCTTTTTCTGGTTCTTTTCATTAGCAGACACTTACAGTACAAAAGTAGAGATGATGAAGAAGAAAAGTTCACTTGAAATTAAATTGTGGTAGATCCACACTACCCATTTGGAGGCAGTGTAACTTTCCAGTACTTGTATCCACTCAGCAACTGCAGCATACATGGAAGGCAAACCTCTGAAAGGACCACATTCCTCCGAAGGTTTTAATCTGAGAGTGTGAAAAAACAGCTGCTTAAAGATTTGTATGTTAACCAGTGAATTAGTTAATATTGTGATTTTGTACATCAAGATGCTCCTCAGTTTTCTATAGCCCTCTACTGTCTTTGGACACCCAGGGTACTTCCATGATGTGTGTTTCATTTTCCACTTGTGTCCCTCTCCAGCCATTAAATGCCCACCCCAGATAATGCAGTGAGACATGAGTCCTTGCTGCAATGGATCAGTACAAGCCCTGTAAGCACAACTTTCACATAAATATGACTTGTCAATCACTGTAGCACACACTACAGGAAATGGAAAAACTGGATTTTTTTAACATTTCACCACAAGGTGAAATTTCACCTTGCCTTCAGGGACATGAGTCACTGCAGATCTTCAGTAACAACAGAAGGTGGTAAAAGAAGACAGCCCATTATAAGAATTAACATTTTCAGGTAGACTGAAATAGGAAAGTGTTTGCTTTGAAACTGAACCACTGCAGACAGCCTGAAATTCCCACTTGCTGTCTGGAAATGATAGCTCTGATAGCTTTCATCCCACCTGGTTTCACGTGTAGTCACCTGTCTCACTAAATACCGAAATCACGTTGCTGACTCTTGTCAAGAAAAAAGTGTATCCATGCTGCCCTCCTTCCTGTGACCAGAGCAACACACAC